AGGATACTAAGAAGTTCTTCTAGATTCTCAAGGTGGGATTCCCATGTCTCTCCTTTGATTGTAATGTCGTCTATGTACACTTGGACCTTGTTTTCTCGAATCATATGTGTGAGTAAATTTTGCATTGTTCTTTGGAATGCGCTCGGCGCGAAGTGCACGCCAAAGGGCAGGCGACAATATTGGTATGAACCACAATGGGTGATAATAGCTAGCTTTTCTCTATCTTTTTGGTGTACAGGGAGTTGGTGAAATCCCTGTGCCAGGTCAATCGCAGAAAAATACTGACCTTTCATTGATTGTAAAACTTCTTCAATTGATGGAATAGGATACCTATCCTGTTTAAACCGCGTGTTTGCTTTTCGGAAATCGGCTACAAGCCGATAGTTGCAGGGCCCTGGTTTCTTTACCAGCATGACTGGTGAAGCCCAGGGACTTCTGCACGGTTCGATAATTTTTTCATCTAATAATTTTTGTATAATTCCCTCAATGATCACTTTTTCTTTTTGGGCAACCCGCCGAGCGGGTTGCCAGTGGTACCGCCCCTGGTTCTAACTCGATTTCGATGGGAGGAACATCTGCTTCTCCTATCGGGTATTTTTCCGACGGCCAGAGATCGGAAAACGAGTCAGAAGTCTGGTTAACTGTGTTTTTTGTTCTTCGTTTAGTGATTTTCCCATTTTAATGCGTTCTGGAGCAAAGCTGTCTTGAAATGTTTTATCTTCTTCTTCTAACTCCTGGTAGTTACCAACGGTATATGGAAGTAACAATGTCTCAGATTCTGGTGTAAGTTCTCGATGATAGCTGAAGTGTTTAGCGAATTCTACTTTATCCGTTGCTGCGAAGCGGCAGGTTTCTACTTCGCACACAAGCAGTTCGTTCATTTTAACCTTTTCGAAAAAACTGTACATTCCTCGAGGTGATAATACCATTGAGAAAAATTGTACGCTTTATGTCCGCAAACGCATTTGTACTGAACCTCGTTTTGTGCTTTGAAAGTGTTGCTGCAATAGTAATTGTGTGTCCTGGCTTGATACTGAGATTTGGAAACATGTCCACAAGTACAAACTGTGTGTCCTTGGTTGTCGCAGTTTGGTTGGGTAGTGTCTTGTTTAGTCAGTTCTTCGATAACGAATGTGTTATTGGCCGAACGGTTCAACTGGGAAATTGGGTTTAAATCAGGATGATTTAGCTTATTAAGGTCATTCCATCCTAAAATGATATCTGCCCCGAAGGGCACGACATCAAAGACGGATAGTGTAAGCAGGTAAGGAGGGAGGGTGAGTACGTACAGATCGATGTAACTAGCCGATGTTTGTGTATGACCCGTAAAGCTCTGAATGTTATGTTCGGGACCTGTGTACAGCAGCTCTTGAATGCCTAATTCGTAAACTTTAGCTGATGTAATAATTGAAAGAGAAGATCCCGTGTCGACAAACGTTCGCAAGCTGCCTACACTCGTTTCAAGGTTTACGACAGGTGGAATATGGGTGTCAGAATCCTCATGAATGGTCAAGATTCTCTCAGTAAATGATGATACTGTAAGGTTGTCGACTTCAGTGTCTGAAAGGGGAATCTCTACGAATTCTGAGTGAGCGTCCTCATTGTCTTCTTTATGTGCTCTAAACTGTTCGTCAATCGTTAGTTCCGTTTCTGAGTCCGAACCTGAGTCAATAATATCGAAATCTGGGAACGGGTCGGGTGGAGCCGAGGGCAGAATAATGTCTGGGGTTTGGAACATGTTTCGTAAATCTTTCCAGCCGATGAGGACGTCGGCTGGAAAGTGCGGAAAATCAAAGACTGCCAGTTTTAATTCATACCCAAAAGCCATGTATGATTCTAAAGCAAAGGATCCTAGTGAAGTGTGAAGTGTTCCAGTGAAATCCTGGATTTGTTGTTGGTCATCAGGCTCAATGAGCTCTAACAGGCCCCATTCTTGAATTTTCTTAAGACTAATCATTGAAAGATTTGACCCTGTATCGATAATGGTAGTGGCGGTGCCATGATTGGTGTAAGAGGTAAAAGGCTGTTGTGTGTGTGATTCGGCCGATGGCACCTGTTGAATGACGAATACACGATCCTGACGTCTAGCTGCTGGCCCTGAATTATTCTGTGCCCGATTAGGGCAAAGGTTTGTGGATGTTCACCACCACATTTCCAGCACTGTAACTTGTTGGTAGCTACAGGCTGGTTTTGCGTGGGATATTCAATTGCCTGAACTTGGGAGGACCTTGCACACCTGGTGATTGCTCATTGTTGTAATTGTTATTTCGAAAATTATTATTACGCTGCTGAAAATTATTTCGATTGTAAAAACCTCGACCGCGTGAATCATTTGGATGTTGTCGGTTGTTATAACCGTTATTGTAATTAGTGCGATTTCGTGACCCGTTGTAGTTCGAATCGTTTCGCTGATAATTTTGTCGAAAATTCCTATTATTGCGGTTATAGCTGTTGTTAAACTCGCGATTATAATTATTATTGCGAATGCGGTTACCATAATCTCTATTGAACATTCGTCTTGAGTTAAAACTGTTGTTTCGAGGGTAATTATTTGACCTGTCGTACTGTTGTCCGGATCGACGGTTGTGTTCCTCTGCTATAGTGATGGGAAAAGGAGAAAGATTGGGAATTTTCAGGAATTTTTTAGCTCGAATGATATCGCGCAAGTCCACCTCTTCATCTGAATCGTTTTTTGCTCCTTCTAAGTCGGTTCTGAAGATTGGGTTAAGTGTTAAACCTTTTAAGGAATCCGTTGTCTTTTGAACCTTATCCTCCATTTCAATAGCTTTAGCAGCTTTTACTAAAAATTCCTGCGGGGTCGCTGGTGTTAGACACGTTACGTCTCTGAGCAACGTGCCCGAGAGTCCATTTGTTAAAGCATCAGCCTTTTCTTCCTCACTGAACTGTTTACCTAATGAATGAAGTATGTCGAAGGTTTGAATCATGTCCATATAGTAGGACTGAAGGGACTCGTGTGCTGTTTTCTTGCGCTTATTCAAATATCGCATCATGTATGCAGTGTATCCAGGGGGGCGGAAAGTATCTAACAGTTCTTGTTTAGTTCATCCCATGTCTGTGCTGGTGCACCTACATGGGGTGTGGGGCGTCTTGAGTACCAAGCAAGGGCTGATCCTTGCAGATAAAGTGATATTCTATTGACCCGTTCCTGGTCCCGCCATCCCTGTGCTGCAGTAATAACTTCATATCGTTTAATGAATAGACCAATGTCATCTTTCCCGTTATGTGCAAATCTGGGTGGTTCTACCGGGTCCGGACGCGTAGGCGTCCGGGCCATTGCGTTGGCGATTGCATCGCCGAGTACGTCTACGTCGACCATACCGGCTTCCCAAGCTTCTAATTGTTGCACCTTTTTATGGGGAAAATTTCTCTGTTATAGTTAAATGGACTGATAGTTCAGTGAAGGAGTTTTTGAATTATTGTAGAATTAAAAGGAATACGGGATAGTTGAGGGGATTGCAGGATTGCGTATATAAGAAATACAATAATAATGACCGCTAAGAGAACGGTCAAAATTTTAACACACATCGTAATGATGTGGCGGACTCCAGTCTATCTGGTTTCGGCCTACCTGTATGGCATGATGGAAGTATGTAATAAGGAAGGTGACTACCAAAGATCAAGTCCAAGGGTCACGCCTGGTGGTCCAAAAGGAATTGTGATGATTGGGACGGTGTTAATCCGAAGGTTGAAGCGGTATAAGTTAAAGAACTTATTTGAAGAAAACGAAAGAAGAGTGGAGTGATCTGGCTGCTGTGAAACCTGAGCCTTATATACCACTCGATTGTGGTAAATTTGGTAGCCTTAAGGTATATTGCCTAATCAATCGTTGGACAACGCATTGCGTAACGCGTAATACGAGCGTGAAGTGCCAAATTGTCAAAAGAACGACTGCAAGTATCCAACGAGCGGGATGTTGTGTAACGCGTATGACCAAGGAACGCGCTGTTATGCAACGCGTATTACAAAATGAACGAGCTTAAGCTGCCAAGGAACGCGCTGTTGTGTAACGCGTATGACAAAGGGAATGAGCTTAAGCTGCCAACGAACGCGCTGTTGTGTAACGCGTATGACAAAGGGAATGAGCTTAAGCTGCCAACGAACGCGCTGTTATGTAACGCGTATGACAAAGGGAATGAGCTTAAGCTGCCAACGAACGCGCTGTTGTGTAACGCGTATGACAAAGGGAATGAACTTAAGCTGCCAACGAACGCGCTGTTATGTAACGCGTATGACAAAGGGAATGAGCTTAAGCTGCCAACGAACGCGCTGTTATGTAACGCGTATGACAAAAGAATGAGCTTAAGCTGCCAAGGAACGCGCTGTTGTGTAACGCGTATGACAAGGGAATGAGCTTAAGCTGCCAACGTGTTAATAGATCGTACCATGGTTGTGTAATGAAAGTGACCTTTGTGATGTCATTTGTAATGTACCTTTTTATTACGTGAATGACCAAGCGTGTTATTCTATAATATCAATTGACTAAATATCTCATCGGTGTTTTAGTGTTTTAAAACTTGCTAATGATAATAGCGGACCTGCCGCTATGCTGCAGCGTATCATTTAGCAATATTGTAAAATAAAACCGTGGTATGGAAAATATTTTATGTTGTTAAGAGAGAAAAAAAATTTTTGGATTAATGACGTCATAAAATTTGGAAAGGTCAATAAAGGTCACTAAAGGTCACACAGAGTGACGTCATTAAAGGTCATCAAAAGGTCACTAAAAGGTCATCAAAAGGTCACTAAAGGTCACGAGGGGGTCCGTATATTATCCCCTAGGTGAAAATTTACGGCCGGGCATTTTTCCCGAGTGTATACTGTACGGAATATATATTGTGTCTACGAGACTATATACAGTCTCGTAGATTCACCGTAGAAAATGTATAGTAGTGCAAATTCGAAAAATTATTATGGCACGGTTTACATAATTATTGTTAAAATTTGTTTATTTTCTTGCAAAATTATAGTTTTGCACTTGCCCCATGTCCGTGGTGTTAGGTGCCGTAGAATTTGTTGATCTGACCGGAAAAGGTGGGCAGCAAATGTGGGCCGAAAGGATGCCGTCCGTACTGTTATGTGCTGGGGAATATGTAGATTCCAGCAGGAAAAGGCTGGCAGAAATGCAGGCGGCAGAAAACTGTCCACGGGAAACGCGCAACAGCAGAGTAGGCTGGTAAAGGCGGGCGGAAAATACGGGCAGTTGAATGCTGACAGTGGCAGATGTGCGATAGTGTGCCGTCCGTGGGAAATGTGCAGTATTATGCCGTCCGTGGAGAATAGGCGTCTGAGGAGTGTAGGGGGAATATGGCAGGTGCCGCTATTGGGAAGTGCGTGGCTGGAGAGTGAACGGTCAACGGCGGTTAAAATCCATAGGCAGCCGTGTGAGAAAATTGCATTCGTTCCGTGCTTGGAATTTCCGTGCAGTGAATGTGTGGTATATAAAAAAAAACTCTGCCGTGTAAAAGATCGTTACAAAACCACGATCTCGCTACCAATGTAGGACAACGGCCTACTATACAGCATAATCGCACAAAGCCGGCACCATAACTGTATTTAATTATACTCTCTCTCACTCTCTACATGAACATTGCACGAACAAGATTTATAAAGACGCCGCTCGGTGCGCGTTGCATGCGCCCGAGGCGGAATACATGCCAGCGTTGTGTAACGCTGGCATGTTATACACTCCACACCGCCAACACACCACATAATGTGTGGTTTACCACAATGGATTTGGTGAAGAATTAAAAAAATAATGCAAAAAATTATTAAGTATCGAAATCAGGAATTAAATTCTGTAGGAATTCAATAAGCAGTTTACAAATTAACTTGTACACAGAAATGAAATCAAACACAAATACACATCTGAATTCAATCAAGAAATAAGTTCAACATAAACTGAATTCAAGAATTAATTTCAATAGAGACGAAACCAAGAATTAAATGGAACTTATAAAGAAATTAAATTAAAACAACTGTAACTTCAAAAATTCACCATAAGCTGAAAAATAAAACCAGATTAAAGATGAACTAATCAATTATTATCGGCTGATTGAGCGTACCTCGAAGACGTCCTTGTCGGTGTTGACCTCGGCCTTCTGGGCCCACTTCTGCCAGAAATCCGGGTCGTTGATGTCGATGTCATCCCTCGTCCCGGTTGCGGCGAAGCTGGCCTTGGAGAAAGTGGAGCCCTTCTCGCCGGCCTCCAGCTGCACGGTCTGCGTGCGGTGCTGCAGGATCTGGTCGATGTCCTCCGTGCAGAACTGGTACGCCCGCAGCCGGCCGTACTCGAGAGCCATCGAGCACCGGACCAGCTGGATGGCCTCACACGGCAGACCTCGGCATGCTGCCACGAAATCATCCAGGTGCCACGCGTACGCGGTGCCCCTCCGGTCTCGTTCACCGTCCCGGAATCATGCACATCGCAACGGTCAGCGTTACCGCTATGGTCCAGGCACATGAACAATTTCGTCACGCCGACGATATACAACTTCGCCAGGCGGATCCCGGGATGCTCCCGCGTCATAGAGCGAATCATGTCCGCGACGATTAAGAAATCCAAGAGGTGGATGCTGTGGGCGCGGTCATGGAGGATTGGAGGATGATATGTTTGGTGGTGGAGCGCAAACAGGTGAAGATAGGCGAGGCTAGGATGTAGTGGAGGTGTCGGCTGGCCGTGCTCGTCTCGATGACAATGTTGGCCGTCAAAGTTGGCAAGGCGAGGATAATGTTCCACGCCGGGCGGACGACGCGCAACTTAGTCTGCGTCAGCGTGTCCAGATGGGCGAACACCTGCTGCCATTCGTCCACCCCCAACGCCGGGGATCCATCCGTCGTCGCATGTTCAAAAGGAGGCGGCCGCACGCAGGATGTCCGGAATGCGTTGAACCAGCGCGTGGAGCAGCGGTTGAAGATGGTTCTGTAACAATCGAACAAGGACCTCAACAGTCGGTTGCTTTCTGGGTGCGCAGAACAAGCAGTTCCCGTTGAAATGCTTTAAGCATCGTTTTAGTAAGTACTTCTCATCACTAAATATTGCATATCGAATTAAAATAAAACACTAACTGTCAACAGACCTGTGTCATGGCAGCCAGAGAAGGCCCAAAACCCTAGGCTAGCAGCCAGCTCCAACATATACTGCAGCACCCCATCCTGGGCATCGACGCCGACCACCTGGCCGCAGGAGGCATATCCCGCGCAAATCTGCAGCTCCATCATCATCGGCAGCAGCTGTGCTGCGGACGCCACACCACACTCGGCGGGCATCGGCAGGCTGCGCTTGACAAAGCGTCCGGGAGCAATGCGCTGCGGCAGCTGCGCCGTCGACCCCTTCGGCTGCTCCGTCGACAGTCGCCCCGCACGGGGCGGCGGAGGAGGTGCCGGGGAAGAATGCCCGTCCAAGTGGCGCCGCTGTCATCCCGCCCCAGGACGACGGCACATCGGATAACACCAGAAGGACGGATCCCAGGCGCGCGGTTTCCGCGCCGTCCGGGATATTTATGGCGCCGCACTTCCCCCGCCACGGTCGTCCAGGGCACTGGGGTCGCTTCGTCAAGCAATACCACTCTGGATGCCATTACTCCTGCATCCCTTGGCAAAGAAGACGCTGTGGTGCGGGATGAGTTCGCAGCGACGGATCGGGGCACAGCAGATCGATGAAGGGCTCGTTGTCGGACTGTGGACACGTACACCACGCGGTCCGTACAGCAGGACGTTATCGTCGCCCACAATATTGATGTCCGTTCCACAAACATGGTGAACGATGGATTTTGTGAGCAGTGTGATGAAGCACCGTGATGCAATGTAAGTAGTAAGTACGCGCTTGAATTGCAGGCCTCTGCAACCAACACTCAGAACATGCCGCATGCGCATTGTCGAACACAGTTCCACCAACAGCGATTATGCACAAGTAACAGCGAGGCACATTTCAAAGATTCTCCGGAACTGTTTTTGAGGACGCCCCAACAAAACTGATTTTAGATACCTAGTATTAGTTAGGAGAAAGCGGAAAATTTAAAAAGACTTCAAAGAGCGAAATTTACAGTTTGAGTTTAAGTACTAGTACGAGTACTCAGTACTTACTCATAAAGTGCGCAAGCCACTCAAGCCAGCTAGCAAAGTTCAGTAAAGAAATTCCAGTTACAGAAGTGAATCGCAGTAGTTCATGGTATTGGAACCGGAAGTGAGGCCTAAAAGTGAAGAATGGAATTCCCATCAGCTTGGCGGACTGAGTCTTGGCTTGGATTTTTCTTCTTTATTTAATTTTTGAGTTTTAAATTTCGTGGTTTTCATCGTTTGCAACTTTACACTGGTTTCAGTGGTTTGTGGTGAATCTGGACGGAGCAGTTTCATGCAAATGTTGAGGAATGTCATCTGTTACGAAGTGATTTAGTGGTAACTTGGATTCCTGCTGAATGCTGATCAACTCGTCGTCCCCGTGGAGAATGTCTTCATCCATCTCACTGCGCGCTCTGATCCGCACAGCGAGCACACTATCCGCATCCACAGCATCGTGTTCGCTGCTGCGTTCTCCGCTGCCTCTGTTGCTATTCCGACCTTCCCCGTTATGTCGCCAGCCTTTCCGCAGCATCTCCGATGACAGCAGCGACACGCAGGCGTCGCTGCAGCAGTCGTTAAACTTCGTCAAACTGCCCGGTTTGTCCGAGGAAGATGAGCGCCGTTTCCAGATTCTGCAGTTTGAAGTGGACGTACTGCGCCAGTCGGGATACAAAGTGCCCAGCGCCATCGCGGAGGAAGAGTGGCGAGAGCTGCTGGCGAAGCCCTCCAAACATTCACGACTCAAGTACTACAACTATCTCTTCAAGTCGGAGATGGGTCGGTTGAAAGTCATCCGACAAAAAGAGAGGAAAGCGGAGGTAATCCGGCGATGACGTTAATTTTTCATTTCTTGGATCTTATAATTCTTATTTTTCACTGGTCCGTGTGTTAAATTAACCATACTAATTTAAGAAACACATATGAATATTTTTTAACCGATAAGTAAGTTTTAAATACTAAAAATTTTATTAATATTCAATTAATCAGCAAAATATAAGGTACAAATTAATAGAATTATTTTTTTAATTGTTGAAATGTTGCTGTTAATTTAAACTTAAATTTCCTAATTTAGGTATTTTATATCTGATTGGGTTTCCGAATTCTACCACAAAACATAAACTGAATATCGACATGATATAAAAAGTAAATGTGCAGTAATTTTGCAAAAAGATATAACTGAATTTTGGAAAAATTGGCAGTAATCTGAAATCATGGACAATTATTTGGAAAAGTTCACTGTAACTTACCTTAGCGAAAATGTGGCATAATAAATCGGAACGATGTGAAATATTTAGCCAATTTAATCTGATTTCTGGAGAATTTGTGCTGTAATTTAACAAAATTTGCAGTGATTTAGGTAAATTTTTCGGTGGAGTCTTGTGAGACTTTCTATGGATTTTTTCTCTTGTGTGTGGGCATCCAGAAACGCCAGGAGAAGTTCGATGCAATGGTGCGCGAACGGGAAGAAGCTCCGGACAGGATACAGTACGGCCTCGGTCACAACACCTTCTTCCCGTACATCCGCGATGCGGACATGCTGCAGGCGCAGAACTACAAGCTGGCGCGGGCCCGCTGCATCGGGCAGCCGCTGGTGGTCGACCTGGGCTTCGACGAGTGGATGACGGAGCGCGAGCAGGTCAACTGCGCCACGCAACTGCGCGATGCCTACGCTTACAACCGGGACGCGCGGGATCCTTTCTGGCTGCAGTTCTGCAATGTCAACTTCCAAGTAGGTTCGTCCTTCCGCTTACGGTGCTTGAGAAAAAATTGTTAAAAAAATTGCTTTTTTAGTGGAACATCAGTTTTGAAAATCATGGAAAGGAAAAAAAACTGTTTTATTAGAACAAATTGTTTCAGTAATATTTCCAGGTAGGTTCGTCCTGCGTAGCTTAACATGGATCTTGGAAAAAAAATTGTTAAAAAATCATTTTTAGTCGGACGTAAATTTAGAAAATTTTGGAAAGGAAAAAACAATTCCATTAAAACAAAAATATGTCAGTAAGGCGTAAATTTAATTTTTCTAATTTTTTTGCTATAAACATCGTGTAGATAAAGAATGAAATTTAATAGCTGCGGCGTGAAACTATAGAAAATATATGGTTTTGATTGAAACTTGGTACGCAGCGGGAATACGGTATTGACATTATCATTTTAATATGCATTTGAGCGCTGGTACGTGTAGTTGTTAAGTTGTAGAGTTTCGTCAGATTATCGTAGTATGCTGGCTGACTGTTGGGACAACCCGCTAGGCTCTCAATCAGTAATTGCGGTAACTGTTAACAGATTTGAATTGCGTTTTATAAATTTAATTCTGTGAATGATTTTAGGATTACAGTTTTCGGCTTAACTTGTAAGGTTATCGGAATTGAAATCGTGCTCCTATTTTTGCTTGTTTTTAATTTTATAACGTGCACTTCGGCTTCTTGCGCATCTTCTGGTTGTTGCCTACCTCACCCGTTTCTTGCCTGTGGTCATTTAGAAAATTTCTACTATGATATTTTGTGCATTTTGTTTTGCTATAATAATTATTTTATTAACAAGCTGAATAATATTTTCGGCATTATTGTGGTAGCTGTCGCGTTGGCATTTGGCGTGGTGCGGATTGATTTCACTGATGGATGCACGGCTACTTATTCTAAGTTACTTGTCAGTAGCCTGACATATCCGTTGATCTGTACAAAAAAATTACACATTTTTTATTTGTGGTATTAAAAATGGTGTTTGTTGATTGCAGGGTCATACATATAAGGCGATGGAAGGTGCGATAGGAAATATTAATTTACCATCGTGTCTGCTGGAGTTCTCGGAAAAGAGTTATCTGGATCTCTTCCCGAAGGAGAAGATCGTCTACCTGACGCCCAACGCCGAGTACAACATGCGGGAATTCAACGAGGATGACGTGTACGTCATCGGGGCCATCGTCGACCGGTCGCAGTCCAAACCGTTGACCCTGGCCAAAGCCAAACGCGAAGGCCTGCGGATGGCCAAACTCCCCATTGACGTCTACCTCCGGTATGGAGTTTTCGCTGTTTTATTTTAAGTACTTGGTTGCAGAATATTATCTTCTTTTTTAAGAAGACCAATCCATTTTTAAATATGTTCCGATGATTTTAATTCGATATTTTTAAAAGATTCCGGGCTCGTTGCCTTATTTCGTACGTTAGGAATGTTGTAGTACATTGGTTGTTTCGGAAGGAAATCTGTGATTTCAACTGCTTAATTCATGTAAAATTTGAGAGATTTCGGGACTTAAAAATTATGTATGACTTTTGTTTTGCATGAGTTTCAACTTGATACGGCATTATGTTTTCGGGTGCTGCTTTTTTATTTAGGTTTTGGATTAAGTTTTAAGGGTGCTTGGGATAAATGTAGTAAAATCGGCATAAAACAACGTTTTGCGTCGTTTTTGCTGCGGAGAACTTTTAAAAAAACGTAATAATATCTTGGGTCTGTAACTGGAAAATCATAATTTTTTTAATATATGAAATTAATGTAAAGCAGTTATAACATGATATTCATTTATAAAATAGTGTTCACTGTGGAATTGTGGGTAAAAGTTGCTGGCTTGCACTTATGCCTTCCAATTTGCAGCGTAAATTTTCGGCGTGTTTTAGTGTTGCTGTGAGTGTGCTTTACCAAATATTTGTAAAATTTCTGGAAAATTTGTGACTGTTTTTCCGGGCAATGAGTTAGTGATGTAGGTTCTCGACTACCGGTAATTGTAAAAAGCGCAGTATGGCAAAGGCTGTAACTTCGCTATACGTACTGAACTCAAAACGCATTATTTGTAGTTGAGTGGCAAAAGTACTGTAAAAAAACGGATGGCGCCGGCTTGTCAGTTGTAGTGGAAACTTGATAAAAACCTAGTATGTTTTAAATTTGCTTTTAATTGTAATTGTTTGTTTTTTCTAATTTGATTTATTATTATTTTTTGTTTGTAATTGATTTTTTTATTGTACGTTTTCTATTTATCCAAATTTTAGTTTTTATTGTAATGACGATATGATGGGTTTACCAGGTGGGCCGTGGGCTCCAAGTATCTGGCGTTGAATCACGTGATATCGCTGCTGGTGGATGTGAAACGGAACGGCGATTGGGAAGCCGCATTGCGTGCGCACATTCCTAAACGGAAGGTCTTCCAGCCGGAAGACGAAGCAGCGGAAACCCTCCAACAACCCCGGGTGCGAGCGAACCAACGACTGGTCCATGCATCGAGAAACCGGGATGCGCGTAATCTGATGGCTCCGTGATGTGCTGATGGCTCCGATGGCGAAATCCGCAGGTTGGGATTTTTTTATGCGTAGAAACTGTTATTTATTAATTTTATTTCATGTTTTTTAACATAAAAATTCGTGAAATTGTATTTTAATTTTGTTATGACTTTGGAGGGGTTGGATGTAAATGGTATGAGGACGACATGCGAAACGTTGTTTTGTTGGGAAAAAATTAAAACGAAATGAAACGTCAGCTGTAATTGTTAAAACTTGGGAAACAATATAAAAAATAATGGGAAATAAAAAAGATGGAGAATAATTACAACTCGAATCCGGTCATTTTTTTCTCATTTTGTTCGATGCTGGCATCTGCTTGTTTGCAGAGATTTTGTAGTAGGATGGCTTGAATGTTCTATCCTTTTAGCTCGATCTTGCCACTGAAATGTTATGTTGGAAATAGCAGTTTAGCCTTTTTTTAATTTAATTTCTCGGCAGTTTTTGTACATACAATAATTTGAATATTTTTAAGCTAATTAAATACAGCGATTGTATAGCTTGGAATTCGTACAATTGTATAATTTGTAAGACTACCTTTTTTTTTCTTGTGTATCAGTTTTTGGAAGACACTGGCCGACGTCGCGCGGCTAAACGCGATAATAATAAAAAATTAAATTAACTGGCAAATAATGGAAATATTTTTGGAATTTTGCCTTCGCTATAATATTATGAATTAAATATGGTACTGTTCCTACTGTAACATAGACAATTCTAATAATATTTATTCCTTCTCGGAACATTACCGCCAAACGTCGTCGCACGATAAGGTCATAATTACCGGTTGATAAGGAAGTAAAATCCTTTATAAAATCGCGCGATGACAGTATTATTTACAGGCTCCACGAATTTTCTTTATACGAGCCAGTTGTGCGGCATAAACGAAATTACGAAGTAATTGCTGTTGCGGTGTCAGATTTTTGTTGGGGATATTCCCGTTAATTCAGTTTCCAGAAGCGCGCTATAATCGTCCACATCACACGTCACTGTCACAGGACGCTGTAAATTTTCTCCAAATTAATTATGATTATATTTAATTCCAGTCCCTCGTCGTGTGCTCGTTGCATGTTGAGACGGCGGAGACATGGTTCCGGTTTTCTCCAAAACGGAAATTATTTAGACCCTGAAACGCAGCTATTTAAATAACGCAGTCGTCCCAGAATATTCCCACTTTTCTGGCTGCAGCGGCACACGAATATATAGTCCAGTTTTAGTCTTTTGACCGTTTTTATTTTTCTTTTTGAGTTATCTCACTCAAACCGTGCTTTATATTAGTTAAGTCATTTCTATGAAATTACAAAAGTTTCTAGCTAAAGGAAAACATTTTCTCAACTTTTTCAAAAAAATATTAATTTTATTTTTCGAAAAAATCATTTTGAATATTTTGGTGAGTTAACTGTTAATCTAAGTCGGCACTTATGTGTGTAATCATTCTTCTTTGCCGCCCTTATTTCTGAATTTTACTTTAGCTTGACAGATTCGTTGTGAATTTTCTAAAACATTATCGGTCCATTTTAAAACTTTTTTGTTAGCGAAAACGTTAAGAAAATACTCTGCTCGCGATGGTTAACGACACGGTGGCCGCGTTTAATGCCACGACGACCAGCAATATTCCCAGCGCGCTGGAGCTGTTTCGGCCGCAAGTGGAGCTGTACATCATCGTCACCGTGACGGTGGGATTCGGCGGGGCCCTGCTGATCCTGCTGTTGCTATGCGCCATGGCCTTGGGAACACAGACGCGCGGCGGCGCCAATATCCTCATCGTCAACTTACTGCTGGCGGAGTTTATCATGTGCTCCTCGCTGGTGCCGCATCAGGCCTTCAGTATCTATTTTCCCTTTGCACGCATTGAGCAGACTGGTATGTGCGTTTCATTTTGCGCTTTGAAAAATATACGAAATAAAAATAAAAAAAATAATACGCAATCGGTAATGAATGTTTCGTAGTTTAACTGGTTTTATGTACTGTACATTACTGTAAATACAGTACTGTACATATACATTATACTATATAGTAGTTAACAGGGAACTGAATTAAAAGTGCTTAAAATAAATATTACTTAAATATCATTTATTGAATAATAAGTTGAATAAATTCCTGAAATAAGTGTAATAAATTTATGAAAAAGATAATATTGAAAATGTAAAATGTGGATGATGATTGATAAGAGGCATAAATCTAGAAGATTAATAAAATTCCGATTATCGAAGTTTTTCTGTCGTAAGGTGGGATGTCGTAGTGCGGTGGCATAGGGGCTTTAGTAGCCCGCTCGCTCATACAGTATGCCCTTAACTGACGATGTTATTCATGTCCAGATTTATTATTTACATTAGACAATTTGAAAATAAATGTTTTTTTTCGATCGTTAAGTACTGCTACTTAATCTCTGAAACTGTGTGACATTCTTTATGGAAACATTTGTTTACAGTTGGCAGAACACGACGGCAGAGAGAGTAGGAAGTAATCGCTTGATTAACACCAGAAATGCATTTAGAAAATGCACAGTCAACTGCTGTTGATTTTGTATCCAGTTGATACAAATATTTCGACAGATAATACAGAAAATATTTGTGTGCGAAAATTGCTGGAAATTGGTATAATTTTGGCAGGGTGTCGGTATAATTATGTAATCTGGATGATCCTGATGAGCTACAGCCAGTGGCTGACGTGTGCGCTGGCCGTCAACCGGGTGGTGGCGACACTAGCGCCGCACTACTACTACCGCACCGCGTCCGGCAGCGCCATCGGACTGACCATCGTCTTCTGCTGGGCGGTGGCCTGCGCCTGCTTCCTGCCGTTTTTCTTCAATACCGGCGGATACTATGATTCCCTCCCGCCCTGGATGAGCTGCAGCATCAGGTAAATACCGCTGAATTTCCACTTGACTGCATTGCAATGTTTTCACTCCTACTGTTCTCAAATAATTCAGTATGTGACTGTAGGTCATTATTTAAGTAAAATTCAATCAAATAGTAAGTGCTGCAAACCGTTCTGTGTTGTTTGTACTCCTGACAGGAAATATCGTAGTGCAATGGCGTCCGCACGCGTGGTATAATCCCAGTGTGATCCAAGCGCATATCATAATAACAGTGGTTTCAGTATTCTAATGATTTACAAATTTATTTTTCTCAAAATATTTATTTATATTACATTTTTCCTTTAATTACATTTTTCTTTTAATGGTTAGTGCTAAATATGTTCTTACCAGACCTGGACAGCCGTAACTTAACTCTATAACTTAACGCGAGTTGTTGGCGAGTTATTGAGTTTTAACGTAACTCTGTAGCGTAACTCGCTACCCAGAAAACTTAACTCTAACATAACTCGCCCAAAATTTGTATATATTCTCTATGGTAGCGTAACTCGCGGCATAACTCGAAACTCGGTTTTACTTGCATAAATAGCGTAACTCGCACGCTACCTGTAACTCGTAAATCTAACGGAGGGTGCATTTTCCATAACTGCCCAGGTCTGATTCTTACAGGAAACATTTAAATAAATAAGATTTATGCTAACTGCTGTTGTGTTGACTGATGTATCCCAGTTTATTTTTATGTTTAGAGTATCTGCGTTTAAGACATTTATAATATTTAAGTAATGTGTTTTTAAAATATTAAAAATGATCTTATTTAAAACAGTTTTAACAATTGGTATTTTATATTTGAAATATTTAATTAAAGAATAATTCCTGGAACATTTTTTATGGATACAGAATCTCCGTGTTCCGGTTGAGCTTATATTCCCCGCATTTTTCATTAAATTCCCCGCGCTGCACCTGTAATTACGCTTTTTTTAACCGGCAACATGGTTAACGTTCGTGACAGGACATCGCTCCCCTGGGCCAAACTGGCCATGTACACGGTGGGCTTCTACGCCCCCATGGCGATAATGGGCACCTGCTACGCCCTCATCCTGCTGTACGTCGTCGGCAAGAGGCTGCGGCGCCCGCTGGGCGGCGCGGCCGGCGGTGACGTGTTCTCGCAGGCGGAACGGCAGCGTTTGGCCATTGCGCGGATGCTGATGGCCAGTGCGCTGTGGTACTACGCCTGCTACCTGCCCAACACCATCGTGGCCACGTCCTTCTATCCGGTGTATGTCCGCTATCCACTCCTGCAGCTGTGGCTCAGGACCATCTTCTTCCTAGGCTACGGCGGAAATCCGGTATGTACAGCGCTCGTGTTTAAAATATTTAATTTAATGTGCAGAAAATTGCGCAAAAATTAAATAATGCCGTTGATTTGGGCGCGGTAAAGGTCACTACACTTATTAAGCATTAATGTAAAAGAAATTATGTCAAAATAAATGAATGCCGCCGATTTAGCCTCGGTTAAGGTCACTACACTGCTTAAAATTTAATCTAAAGAAAATTATGTCAAAATAAATTAATACTGTTGATTCAGGCGCGGTTAATCTCACAACATTGCTCCCTTAATTCTTTAAAATTATTTTTACCGGAATTAGTAATTCCACCAATCTCAGCTTAATAGCTTTCTGTTTAGAACATTTCGAGTAATTTTATTCAGAGACAATTAGCTCAGAATACATATATCGATGCATTATGTCGCTGATTTAGGGCGTAGGTTTGATTAAAAATTAATATAAAGAAAAGTATGTCAGAATGAAATATTGCGTGCCGCTGATGTGAGTGCGTTAAACGGTTAATGGTCCGCTGCTCCTTTAATTTTTCCCAAATATTTTCCTTGAATTAATCTTTTTGCCAATTTTATATTAATAACAACTGATTAATCTGAAGGTCACGTTCGTTGACGCTATTCGCCCCGATTTAGTCGTAGTGATTTAATTATACGAGGTAGACTTATGTGTACATATGTATATTTCCAGTAATTGTTTAAATATATTTTCAAATAATCATCTACTTTTATATATTAGCAAATTTCTACAAATATGCCGTATAAATGTGTGTTGTGGTGCAGAAATAAACAAGTTAAATCGAAAATTACTCTCGTATGCAATGCGTTGTGAAGGTGTTGTAGTACAGTGTCATTCAGACGATATCGTCAGAAACTCAGCACTATGGTTTAAAAGCGTGTAACTGCATATTTAACAAAATAATCAGCGATAATAAATCTGCTGATTTCAAGATTACTGAATTTTTTTTGTGTATTGCGGATTTATCTATGCATGCAGAATAAATAGTTGCTATTTCAAGTGTTTAAACATCTCATTTCAAGCTCGGTTTTAACATATTATAAAAAAGTGTACGTGTTTTAAATAGTGAAATGGAATTTTTTCGAGTTCGTAGTAGATTTGTGTTACTTAGTTTGTGTTACCCAGTTTGCTTGCTCAACCTGTGACCTTTCTTTCTATTGACAGCTGATCTTCTTCACGATGTGCAAGGACTACCGCAACGGGCTGCGATCACTCGGGAAACGGCTGCGCCAGACGGTTGGCTGCGCCGCAAAACGGCCGTTGTCCTGCGGAACGGTGACCCCGGTGAAGACGACCCTAGTGTCGGTGATATCGGCTGAACGCAGTCGCGGCGGGGAGAAGGATGCCGCGTTCGGTGGGGTGTACTACGCGGCGGATGAAGAAAACTAGTGCGCATGCGATTCCCGCTGCTGTTCTTTTATCTTTTATTTAATGTATATTTTATAATAATTTGTTATGAAGTTTAATTTTTTTTAAATGATTTATTTTCGCGAATTCGCCGCTGTTTTATTACAACGATGTATTATGTGTTTCTATCTATATTTTAATAGTCAAATCATTTTTCTTTTTTTCCATTTTTCATTTTTTTTCTTTATGTTTAATTTTATTTAATTTTTTCATTGTTGTAATAATTTTTCTTTTGTCGGTGATTTTATTTTTGTGTGTTTTAAAATGCCTAATTTTTGTGTGTTTTAAAATGCCTAATTTTTGTGTCTGTTTTAGAATTATTTTTAACATGTGCAAATGCAACGACTGGTATCGGATACTTCGAAGTATGATATTTGCGGTACGTGTCCTGGTGATGATGATCCACTGTCCCGGTTCACACGCGATACATTCACGTGGGAAATTTGATCCGCTTTTACAGCAACGTTATACTGAGATTAAATGGCAGCGTTTCTTCCTTGTGCCGGCTTTCACCGAAAGTGTGCAGTGCCGATAAATAACAGCTTGCGGCGCGAATTAATAGCTTCTTCAAACAGGAAATGTTGATGGTGAATATTCCCGGGTTACGGGAATCGCAAAGGTCGTTAACGTTTCTTGTATACTCGTAGAAAGGTTCAAATTTAACACCTTCTCGTCTCTTACAAAGCAGACCAATGGAAGTTTACGACTTTATTTAAATTATTCTCTTTGACTATATTAAAAATAAACTGGAAAAATTAAATAAACAATAAACAAAAAATCAAAAAGACATTCAGTGAATTTTCGGCTCCGCACAAATGGGTGGGGCAGAATTGTAAGTGCTGTACGTATGTCAGTGCATTTTATTAACACATAATTATGTTACTTTAAATTTAAATTATGAGTTGGCGGTTGCAATAATTTATAAAAACAAATTCAGAAAACTTCTGCTCCGCAGAAATACGTATAAATTTAGAATTATTTATCAACGTGTTCAATATGTGCTGATAATTATACGAGACTACCGGAAGAAGAGTTTTTTTTCACGGCCATCGTCCCAGCCATTAACATTTACTTGTTAATATCATGTACTTAACGCTAGAAAATGTGCAACTTAGGCACGGCGCTACGCAGTACGGACGCTTGTCTAAATGCCCATAAAACACCCCAAGATTAATCACCTATCCACACGACCTGAAACATTCCCGGTATAATTAAAATACCACTTGACGGAATTATGCGAAAATGCTGGAAGATTAATTATGTCACTTACGCAGTCGCTCTCCACCGCTATTTCACTGGGCAGACAGCGTAAGTATACTTCGAATGACACTCACATCGCACATTACCGGCATTACAATGCACACGCACACCGCAAAAACACTCACTGACACTCCGGTGACAATGATCCGGAAGTGGCGTTTTATCGCCCCGGGCGGTCGGCTGCCGTGGGATGTACCCACCGACAGACACAGACGAGAGCGATACGAGTGCCGGTAATGAATTTAATCCACACCGATCAACGCATCCCGCTGCAGTCGGCAGGATCGCTTTCATCGGGTTAACGGGCGTTGTGGGATATCAATACGGTGACCTTTATATATACCGGGGTGACGCGGTTGTTGGTGTCTAACGGGAGTTTAAGTGCGTGTGATTGGTTTCCGCTTATATATTATTAGAATGAAGGTCATGGGTGATTTGGTGCCGTATTTAAGCTTCCTGTTGGTTGTGCTTCTACTTCCCACCGGAAATGCCCAGCCGGATGCGCTGGATGGTAAGAAACGTGATTCCTTATACATAAATGCGGGATATACCCTGGTTTTGTGGTGTTGAAATGTTTCGAAGAAAATATTAGGCTTGTAGAAGATATTAGATTGTAAAAGTTTCAACTGCACACGAGCGTGTATATCGCTTCGAATAAACGATGTGATTTATCATGCAGTTTTCCAGCTTTCCTCGAGTAATTATAAATTCCAACTGATTTTCCCATGAGTAATTATTTTTACAATTTTATTTTCCAACTCTAACAATTATTGAACTTCTGCAGAGTATGCATATTGCTAACAACTTTGCCAAAATATTTAATATGCTGCGTATATCTGTGCCTCATGTTAATGTATTGTACACAGTGGATTGGATCAACAGCTAAAGATCATCCTGCTAAGTAAATTGTAATCGCTTTCTTTAAACATAAAACGTTACTACAACAAAAGGTTTTTCATGTGAACGAATTGAGAACACTAAGTATTTAATATCAAAGCCTGTACGACAGATATTACTGTAATAAATTTGTAATAAGGTTAAGGAAACTGCACGCATACCTATAAAGTAGCAATGCTACTGTAACCAGATCCAAGTGCGTAGAATATTTTTCAGGATTAAAGTACAAGAAAACATAAAAATCGACAAACAAAGTACGAAATTAAAAATGTTGATATCACCATGCAGTTTTGTCTCGATCCGCATGCACGCAGTGATTTGTGTTAATAACAGTGACTCTATCTAATTCTTGTTGCTGCGTCTAGATCCTACCGGAAATGCGCCGTGGTATCTGGGCAAACGTTCCGGAAAGGACCCCTCTCTGCCTAACAGCGTCTTCAGTCCGGCCTATCAATTCGGGCGATGGGGCACGGGCAATCTGTACCTACCGCCCAAGGGCCGCCGTATGTACTACGGCCCCATACCCAACCTCAACGATCCCCTCCTACCGGGCAAACGACTCATGTACTACAAAGGCCTCACCGAGTGATCCATTTTACCATATCTAACGCTCTGGCGCTTCCTGTTTCTTTCATTAAATACGTCTATAGAATTTACAATAATATAGCGGAATTTGGGTGTGTTTGTTAAGGTCAATCGGTCAGTACGTACCGCACATGTATTTCTTATGGTTAGAATGGTTGATAATGGATCTCTAAAATGAATTTAATTGCAGCTGTTTCGACTTCGGTTTTTTGTTTAATTATCGTATGATGACTTTTTTGAACTGCTATAGCTGCTGGTGAACGCGCTCGCTGCAAATATTCAGCTTTAATAAATTTTATTCATGTCAGTATTGATTAAAATTCACCTTATTTCGCTACAAAACAAGTACAACGTCTTTTTGAAAGCAGTCACATATACGCAGCTCAGTAAAATTCTGATCACTTATCTAGCTGGTTGCTACATATATAAAAATTTAAAAAAATTCTGGGAAGTATAGTTCGTAGTACTGCAACGTTTCCGATGTAATTACGTTTACCGACCGTTCGCTGAAGATTTTTTACTGAATCTCGTTATTACGTTTTATCGGTGTACATCCATACAACGTATTTACACGGCGGCGGGAATCTCGGATCAATTTGCTAATAACAAACAGAGAAAATTACTAAACAGCTGAGACACCATACACGTTGCACCACGAGACCGAGCGGTTCCACGGAAGTTGCAATGGCAGAGCTGGTAATGTTGCCAGATCGGGTCAGACGACTTGGATCCATAGGATACTTGTAGACTGGTGCATCATTGGTACCACCCCTCTCCTTTGGCAGTTTGTTGTAACCAAGCTTGGGAAAAATTGGAATGGAATGGTCGGTGAAGTTTTTCTGCAACAGTGAATGCAGCTGGTATACAGAATATTTGTACGATTCAGTAAAAACAACAGAATGTGTAAATTTTTAAGTAAAGGTGTATTATGCCATAAATTTCTGGAAGAGTATTACAAAGAAAGTAGCCCCGTACATGCCTACATCGTACCAGTTTCATGTACATCCAACACCTAGAGCTTGGGCTTTCGCGCATTCTGAAACACCGTTCTACAGAGTATATCATTCCACATCCGAATGCTGTATACACTGACCTGAAAAACGGCTTCTACGCGCAACATCTGGTTGCCGAGATATGGTCATTTAAAGTGGACAAAACGTTTAAATGCATTGTCGTGTAGGAGTACCGAAAGTCAGGTTGTTAGCCGGGCTTCTTATACTTTGCAGTAAAATACACTACTTCTATAGACTTTTAGCTGGAATCTGAACAAATATAGGAGGTGTGAGGATTAATGATCTGTAGTCATTACCTGAAATTTTAAAAAAAAGCGTTAAATTTTTTGAATTTCATTAAAAAGTTGGAAAAAAAATTAACATGATATTGGTTCATATTCGAATGATAGTCTAATAGCGTCTTACTGCAAAGTATACAAAAACCGGCTAACAAACTGACTTTTGGTACACCATAATGCATTTAAACGATTTGTCTACTTTGAATTACGATAATTATGTCGGCAATCAGACGTTGCGAGCACAAACGGTTTTCCAGCCAATGTAGTATACTGTACAAATTGTTCGGTTATAGGATGAAATAGAACAGTGGTCGGAAATGCGCACAAGCGAAAGTTTTAGTGGATGTATACGAAACTGGAATGTACCATGTACCGGGCCATTTCCTTAAATTAAGGACCACAATAGGTGCGTTGCTTCAACGTATGTTTGCAGAAGCGCTCCTCTGTCCGAATCTAGTCATGGCGATTTACACGCACTGGTGGCACTATGCTGTACACTGTTTGTTGATTTTATTACTACATTGTTGAATCGTCGACCGGCTAACCGGTTTCCGCTTTTTTGGTTCACCATTACATATACTCGTATAGAATTAAATACGGTTGTTTTACCTCGAGGAACGGTTGCACTACGAGATTATTCCAGGTGTGACTATTGCAGCCGTCTTCCCGGCAGATGCACACTCGATTGGCATAGGTACCATCCAGCGGGGCATTGAGCTTCTCCAGTAGGCAGATGGTGTTCAGTCCTGGATCGTCATAGGAAGCAATGGCTTTATACACTCGGTCGTATACGGGATGGTCGTACGCCTCGGAGCAACCTCGCGTGATGCCATAGTACAGTAATCCTGCAATTCCAAAAAATTAAACGCGGAAAGAGGGTGTTGCCAAAAGTAGACGGTTCGTATTAACGGAAATTCCATCTCTCCGGATGCAGCATACCTGGGCGACCGGCTGAGCTGTCATCCGTGAAGTATGCCCATTCGATACAGTATTTCGCATCTGGCTCGCACGTGATCATCTCGTTAGGATTGAGTATGCGACAGTCTTCCGTATCCGTCACCCAGCTGCAGTCACGACACTTCAGCGCTGCGATTCCTGCGGTTTTTATAATATAAAAATGCTTAGAACAGCACGGATGAATAATGGGTAACGACTATTAATGCCTATACTGTAGTTTGAATTTGCATGATAATTACTGAGTTGCCACCTTATTAGAACGGAAACTGTTTCATTGGTAAATTGCATAAACAGGGGATTTTTTATTATAGAATATAGACTATAATTATAATTTATATGGATACTTGTAATATTATTAATTTTTCGTTTGACGTTCTTAGCCAGTGAATCGAAAGTTCTGTATGTCCGATCTCCATGGAAAACGTTCGAAAAATAGTGGACCGAAAGTTACGTTCAGTGCAGTGCAGCACACAATGCAAAACTTTTATAAATGGATGGAGAAACGTTGTGAGACCTGGTGGTAGTAAGATGCAGCATAACACGATAATCCATCCCACGAACCGTCTTGTTACGGACACGGGCATTCGACGCCGTGGAGATTTTATCCAGCAGGCCACGGACGGGCTGATTGCAGGGGCATCCGATGTACAGGTTTAGGCTCAAGTGCTTCCGTTATGATCGTCTACTGCTGCCCCAGCCATGGATGATAAGATGCTTATTATCATGGAGTACGTGAAAGGTTAAACATTTTGTACGAATTTTAAGCGCAGACTGGCTGCAAAACAGCTGACTGTTTGGTGGATGCGAACAATGGTAGTACAGTTTAAAATTCCTATGGATGTGATCAGATCAGATTTAATACGTACCGTTTACAGACTTAAAGAACGAACAAAAAGTACTTATGTATCGTGTTTAAAACAGTTGCTAAGTATTAGTGCGATAAATTTCTTTTGTCTGCGCGCGTATGTCAGGTGCTGTACTTAACTGTACTAAAATTATGGCGTGTTAAATTTTTACTGACAATAGGTAAGTAACTGTTTTAAAATTGAATAATTAAGTGCGCGTACTGCACTTACAAAACTTTATAAGCAAAAAGCACTGATAATCTTTCGATCACGATGAATCACTGCAAGCTGGCTGCAAGTCCAACGTATTTGCCGTACTGTCGTACCGTCACAAACAGACTGCCGTACCGTCACGAAACGGCACTCGCCAAATACTCGTATCTTTTTTAATCACCAGTATGTATCTGCAAATTACCGTAAAGTCGCTTGTAATTTCCCATCGCGGTAGTACCTCGTTTTAATGGTGGGCGACTGTGCGCAGTAACGCGCAGTAACATACTGAGCAAGATGAAAGGCACTTGCATCTTGCTCAGTATGTTACTGCGCATGTTACCTTTACGCGATCTCTGCGTAAACTTGTAGATCGCCCGTTGTTCTGCACAAGCAAGTTTAAACATTCAGTAGAAGTCATTAATATTGGTGGAGGTCAATTACATTTGGGTAACTGTTGCGCGACGGGTAATGGAGAACCGCGTAAAAAATTAGCCATGACTCAGCAGAAAAGCAATCGTCCAATCGTGAGTCGAGTACGCTTCCGTGCCAAGAAAGAAATTGAACACCGTAGTGGAACTGAAAAACTCATTTTTAATGCTGTAATGTGGTAAATGTGGTATTACGTCAAAAAAGTTAATTATGAGTTTTGGATTGTGACTCTGGGTCGTTGGATTTACTTTTGGTCCAAACACACACAAATTTTGTTAATCTGTGCAGGAGAGTTACGAGTTACTCGTAGTTTGGGTAATGGTTGCGCTTCGACGTCGAAGCGCAACGCTTACGCGGACAAGTAAGCTGAAAACCCATCCCAGATTTTGTGACTGCGAATCAGAATATTTGCTTGGTTACGCGCTGTTACGTCACATTTTTTACGCGTTTCCCTGTTACCCGACGCGCAACGCTTACCCAAATATAACTGACCTGCACTAATGGTGGAGTTATTACAATCTTAGTTCGGTGTAGAAGCTTGTCTAATGGAGCTTGTGAGATAGCTGACACGATCCGCCATTCTCGACGGGAAATGTTTCCGCCCAAGCGTTCTTTCTCCTCATCGGTGGCGCGGATTCACTAATTTGAAAGTCTACTCTAGCGTGTAACGTGGATCCCAGCTGCAGATGATTATGCAGAACCATTTAATCGCTAAGAAAACACTGCAAAACAAATAAATAGGCACCCGATCGAGTTCTCGGAATATTAACATAGCGCAGAATTCAGTAGCGGGAAGTACTGGGAGTGGGAGCAAACAGAAATCAGCCTCTGAAGCGCTCTGAGTACGGATACACGGGGCGGTCTTGTGGTGACCTGATGTTATTGTGTTGGCGAAGATTTTTATAATTGATAACTTGAACTACGTCGTTACCTCGTTATCTGCTACTACGTACAGATCCGACCGTACAGTGCGGCTTGGTACCTAGGCAAACGCTGCGGAAAGGATGCCGCTTTAGGGCCGAACGCCTTCGGTGCCGCTAATCGACACCTACCGCCCAGGCCGCCGCCTGCACTGCAGTGTCTAGGGTTACATGCCCCATCTCATCACTTTCGATCTGCATCAGTTAAACTTTTCTATGTAATATGGCACGAGTGACCTTTTAAGGGCTTTCTTAACGAGATCGCTACAAAGTTGCAATTTATAAATAATTTTTCATTAATCTATGATTCAGTAAATTAATCTCTGGGGATTTTGAATTTTTGATTGCCAATGGATTGGCAGTACAAGGTGCACACTGCACAGTGCACACAGTTTTGTTATTATGCAATTCCGTTATGAAAAAGTAGCAGAGCTTATTACAGCATAAGGTCGATTGAACGTATTCCTGCACATAAAACTTTGCATTTTCGTTGTTTCAGCAGATTGACAGAATGATATCCACCTCGTTTTCGACGGCGATAAGACTAATCCAAAGTGAGCTGAAATTCCTGATGCAAAACAAGGAAAATCGCGGAGAATCCGAGATAAGGTAAAAGTTTCGCAAATGCGTCAACTGGTTCCACGGTATTTAGCGGGGCGGAGTTGGTATGGTTACCGCGTCGCCATCCGTAGAAGTCGCCGGCATAGGTGGCGGGACCCTGGTACAACTCGGGCACATAACCGGGTTGCCCAATATTCACCGGCAGGTCATTGTAACCGAGCGCTGGGTAGACTGGCTTCGAGCTGGCATTAAAGTTATACTGAAAACAGCAGCATCGCTTACATACGGTATACAGACGGTGATTACGGTCGTAATTTGCGTGCAGTGCCGAACGGATGGTAGGTATACAGTGTATACTGTACAGTCTGTACTCAATATAGAATGAAAGTTAAAAGTCTTAATAAAAGTCCTGACTCGACGCCTCTTCCTCCTTCAAGAAAGATTTAGGCGCTTACCGGTACAAAGGGCAGGGTAACCATATCGTTCCACGTATGGCTATTGCACGTATCTTCACGGCAAATGCACACTCGATTCATGTGCGTACCATCAATCGGCGCAAGAGGATGTTCGTTCATTATCCTGCAGATTGATGTTCGCTGGTTGTCCGCCGCAATTTTCCACAGACGGTCATACTCCGACGCAATATCCCAGCCTGGGAACGTGGGTAGCTCCGACCTTCTGGTACCCGAGCATCTCCGATTGACGACATAACGCATCACGTCTATACTTCAATGATTTTATAGAGCTCAAATTACTCACAAATTCACCTGCTTTTGAAATCATGATAAGTTATCTACATCCCAAATTGAGACTTACTTAGGCCTGTAAGGCTTTATCAGTCGACTTAAAATTAGTCTCGCTCAATCCTCAACTCCTTGCACGGGTTTGCAACTCCGTGAAGCCATTTGATCCCGCCCTGCGCCGTGATTGGTCCCTGTGCTCCACGGACTGGACTCTATAGTCTATGGCCAGTCTACGGCGCAGACCAGCTAAATGGGTCGGCCAAGTTTACCTTTGCCTTTTCTTTGCCTTTGCCTTTCCACTTTGCCTTTTTCAACATTGCCTTTACCTTTGCCTTTGCCGCCGCGAACACCTTACCGTCCTAATTAGCCGTCCCAAAACGCCGTTTGAAATAACCTTTACCGTTGGCTTTAACCGTTGCATAGCAGACTGGCGTCAAACACTTTATCGTTTCTGGAATTTATTAGCATTAATTGACACAGCTTATTAAATAGTTTAGTTTCAGACTTGAATACTGTAAAACAAAAATTTGTGGTAGTTTTAGCATAAAAAAATATTCAATATAAATCAGCCATCCCAAACACTAATTTGCACTTCGGTATTTATAGAGTACATGGGCACTATTTCAGGTAAATCGGCGATCAAAATTCATATTACAATTAAAATAATCTATCTATATAAAAGAATAAGAAAGTGCACAATATTTGTGTGTGTCAGGGTCTAAGTCATAGACACGTTCAACCAAACTTAAATATCTTAGTATCGTTCGATAGCCCTGAATGTGTAGATTTGTACAAAGTTATCAGATTTCAGAAAAACAAAAACAGTTTTGAGAAAAAATTCAAAACTCTAACATGGAAAGTCTACGGGACGTCAAAAATTAGTTAACGGAGCGCAGTTAAGTAAGTAGCTGCCACCTGGAGCAGGTTGTGGGGCTCTGCTGACTTTACCGTAACGGCCAAAAAGTACGGCTGCGCCGCTGCAGCTTGCAAAGTGGCAACACAGTGAACAGTGAACACATTATCCCGTTTGTAGTCGAGTTCGGTTAATTTGCCTTATTTGCGTTTAAATTTTCGAACGTAAAAGGCAGAAGTTTAAACTTTAAATTTCCAGTTGTCATTTCTGCAGGTTTTTGTAAAACGCACTGTAAAAAACTACACATAGTAATCTGACAACTGTTCCCGTTACGAAATTTGTGCAGTTGCTACAAGCAGAAACTAAGGGAAATTCTGCGTTTGCTATGTTCAGTTTTTGTCAGTGTGGAAACTGCTTGCGATGAATGCGATCTATACGGCGTTCGGGTTTTAAACATCATGGTACCCTATTTGATAGTTTCACGGGCAGGTGACGCAGAGCGACACGACACGAGCGGATCTCGAGGAACAACAAGCAAGACTTCTGCGTAGTGCTTTATAATTCCGTGGCACCGTAAAAGCCGAATGGTACACGATTCACAACCGTTTCGTTTGGTTCACGACCGATCTCACCACTTTCGGCCCGCGCTCGCGCTCCATCTCTGACTCTGACCACTCAAACTCTGACTCTTACTACAGTCAAAGTCTGACTCTGACTACTCAAAGTCGGACTCTGACCGCTCAAAGAAGCTGAACCCTAACCTAAGAAAACCTAAAAGTAAACGTAAGAAACCTAAAAATGACCTAAAAAACCTAGGTTATTCTTAGGTTACTCTTAGGTTTCTCAGGTTATTCTCAGGTCTTTTAGTTTTTCTTAAGTTTTTTAGGTTATTCTTAAGAACCTTAGCAACCTAAGAATAACAGAAAAAACCTAATAACCTGTTTGTATTGGGTTGGATCAGAGTTTCGGTGGTCAAAGAAGTTGCGGTCAGGGTTAGAGCTTGAGCGTGGGCCCAACGTTCACCCCGTGCACTACATTGTGTAAAGAGTACTATTTACCCGGTAAACTACCTTTTCGATTTTCGCCTTTCACCGTCCCTCAAGGTCCGACATGGGAAAACACTTTGCAGTGTATTTCCTGCACAATAATTTTGCTATGTTTGAAAAGATGTACGCATTATTGTAAACATAACTGAATTCCAGAAATTATTATTCTTATAAATTCCAGCAATAAATTCTTCTGAAATTCAGAAATTATTCCAAATTGTATGTCCAGAAATTCACTGCGCGCCAACGTAACTGGAATTTTGTCCGACTGTTTAAAGTAGCAGCATGTTTCGGACATTTACGAAAAATGTACTTTAGAAATATCTTGAAAAAGGAATGTGAATATACAGTACAGCACTATTTTGAAAACAAGCAAGTGTGGTGAAAGCAAATGCAAATGTCGAACGAAGGAAATTTTAACTTGGACCGTTGGGCCACGCAGTAAAAGGAATGAACGGAGGGAAAAGTAGTACGAGTACCGAAAGTTTCAAAGTTTTTTTGTGTACAGAAATACGAGTACGATTGAAAGGCAATGAAACTGGTGAACTGAGTGGTCAAATTAATAAGTTATTCTCAAATGTTCTAAACGGTGCCACGGTGAAAGTGGTTTTTGGTTGTTCCACTGACTGCTGATAAGTACATATTTATTACGATCGTAGTGTTATTAACAGTAAAGAAAATTAATAAGTATTGTACGAGTAGATCTCCATAGTTGAATGTTGGTGCAGTTATCAGCCGCTGATTTACTTCGCGCAATTTGCGCGGGGTCCACTAGTTACATTATAAATCATTTTTAACCCGGCCAAATGCCTAATGGTTTTACATCTTTATACGGAAGAAGGCCCTTTAAAAGCGACCACAATAATAGTTTGTTAAAAGCTGACCACAGGCAGCATTATTACAGACTGCAAGCTAAGACTAGGATACATTCAGGATGGCTCTGACAATAGAATTTCTGAACAAATTAATTAATTTACTTAATTTTAATTAATTTCTAGTAATTCCATTTAATTCTAGTTAATTTCTCGCTGTATGAGGGGGAAACTAGTCCTCTGCGTAATAACGAAAGCTGAATGACCGCAATATGGACAGCACAATTAGCGCAGAGAATTGTTCAGTTAATAAGCCGTGCCGGCTACGGTGCTTCGTGATTTTTTGTGAAGGTGAATTGTTTTTTCCGTCGTCACCATCTCACAAGTCAACACCTATCATACAGGTCACAGTTCTGTATGACTACCAAGTTGCGAACAATTATTTCTATCGAACCAGGACTCTGTGCCATCGAGTATCTGTCTTGTGAATTCTGTTATCATGCTATGAGAAATTGATAACACATACAATATAAAATGGTTGCCGTGTTTTCTTTTGGTGCCTCTTATATTACTGAAACAATAATTTCGTAAACGTTCATGGTGAAGATACATCAGCGCTAAAAATTCCGAAAATGGTAAAGTGTTTGGCGGCTTTCCGTTATACAACGGTTAAAGGAAACGGTAAAGGTTATTTTGAACGGCATTTTGGTAAGGCTAAGCAGGACGGTAAGGTGTTCGCGGCGGCAAAGGCAAAGGTAAAGGTAATGTTGAGAAAGGCAAAGTGAAAAGGCAAAGGCAAAGAAAAGGCAAAGGTAAACTTGGCCGACCCAGCTAAATAGCTAATGCAGCTATTTACCCCATTAACAATGTTTACGTGAAACCAAAAATCTGTGTGTTTCGGGTGAGCGAATCACAAAAAACGGCATGTGATACACAAGAGTGCTCGGCGATTCATTCAAATCACTTTCGCGCCGACTGATAACGTCTGCGCAGTTAGATTTTTATCTGGTGCAGCACGCACGAAAGCTGTCGTGATAGAACATAAATTATTTCTTTCGGAAAACACAAGAACCGATTTCAGCTGACAAACACTAGCCGGCAATTGAGCTTTCTCATTGCCACTGTCCAAACCTGCATAACATGTCTTGCATTATGTGCTGTTTCATTATTTTATTTTTGCTTGTACAGAAGCAAAAATGCTCAAGTTCATACACCTTTATTGTAAAAAACAATTTTAATTACCGTTGCACGTTCACGTGGCATGAGCGTACAACGATGATTAAGCTATACATTAATTAATGCATATGCATAAGAGCCTGATATGCACTTTACGTTTGCAAATGGCCCCTCTGCACTAATTAGAATGCATGGCGCAGAAGTGTTTATAAAGGATGAATTGTTAAAGACCGAACACAAAACTGTCAATTGCAAAATTGCTAATGGGGCGTTGCGACTGTTATTATAATCATTACAGCGAGCGATTAACTTACTACTTTACGAAAAGCATTGGCTACAAAGTTTCTTTTCTTGATATAGAAAGGCCATGTACTTACTAATAATTAATTAGCGCATATGCTGCTGATATTCGTGTAAAGCCATGCGGCATGCAGTAATTGAGGGTGCAGTTTTACGTAGGTGCGGTATATGCTGTACGTTGCGACCGTGTACCTTGAAGATTAAGGTTTTATTATTCTTGAATATTTAAGTATTTTTACCTATTAATAATTGACTACAAAATCTGTTCTACTTGTTTTCGTATTCCGGATAATTTAAAAATATCGATTTGCGTACTGGACAAAGCATTTTCCATGTTGTTCCACTTGACAAATAATTATCAAAAACTGAAGATGTAATATATATTAATTATTATTTTATGCAAGCTTGTTCATGAGATTGATAAAACCCTTATCACGCTTTCTAATGTGGAAACAATAAAGGGATGCCGTATCTGTAGTGTCCGGTTCGCAAATCATATTCTCAAAGTGTCCGGAATGCGAAAACATCGATTAGCTACAGAGTGCACCGAGTACAATATAATTATGAAAAAATGCAAATTTCATGACCTTTGTTCCTAGCATCAAGCATGATAGCCAGAACCGCAACGATCATAATGGCTGTTTCACTATATTTTCCAGTAGTAGTGGCAGCACATAAAACTAAAATCACCATTTATTACTAATTAAGTTATTAACCTTCGAAAAGTGATGCGCACAATATTGCTTTTAACAAGCACCACTTAAAAGACGGCATAATTATCGCAGGCGCGCACGTACGCGTAAGTAATACTGATGCGAAAAAAGCATCTTATCAGTAATTCACACAGAGTCGCGGCATAACGGCTGCGGATTCCATGCGCTGCTCCAATGCGCGCGGGAAAACTTGTCAGTGGAACACCAAGTTCAACTTGACTTTTCAGTCGAACGCAATCTGCACCGCATTGCACCATATAAAATATTTTGTTAATCCGCTGCTTTGTATTCAGAATTTAACGATCCTGCAGCTAATAATTAATATGAGCTGATGTATTGGCAAATTCGCAACATTCTCTCCGACATTCAGTCAAAGATATTTACAATTTACTTCGTTTCAACCGTTCTTTCTGGGCAGTGGTAGTCGCAGTGCAGCTGTATCCCCTTGCTTTAACTTTTGATTGTCGATAAGTGCAATGTCGTGGCATGAGCGTACAACGATGATTAAGCTATACATTAATTAATGCATATGCATAAGAGCCTGATATGCACTTTACGTTTGCAAATGGCCCCTCTGCACTAATTAGAATGCATGGCGCAGAAGTGTTTATAAAGGATGAATTGTTAAAGACCGAACACAAAACTGTCAATTGCAAAATTGCTAATGGGGCGTTGCGACTGTTATTATAATCATTACAGCGAGCGATTAACTTACTACTTTACGAAAAGCATTGGCTACAAAGTTTCTTTTTCTTGATATAGAAAGGCCATGTACTTACTAATAATTAATTAGCGCATATGCTGCTGATATTCGTGTAAAGCCATGCGGCATGCAGTAATTGAGGGTGCAGTTTTTACGTAGGTGCGGTATATGCTGTACGTTGCGACCGTGTACCTTGAAGATTAAGGTTTTATTATTCTTGAATATTTAAGTATTTTTACCTATTAATAATTGACTACAAAATCTGTTCTACTTGTTTTTCGTATTCCGGATAATTTAAAAATATCGATTTGCGTACTGGACAAAGCATTTTCCATGTTGTTCCACTTGACAAATAATTATCAAAAACTGAAGATGTAATATATATTAATTATTATTTTATGCAAGCTTGTTCATGAGATTGATAAAACCCCTTATCACGCTTTCTAATGTGGAAACAATAAAGGGATGCCGTATCTGTAGTGTCCGGTTCGCAAATCATATTCTCAAAGTGTCCGGAATGCGAAAAACATCGATTAGCTACAGAGTGCACCGAGTACAATATAATTATGAAAAAAATGCAAATTTCATGACCTTTGTTCCTAGCATCAAGCATGATAGCCAGAACCGCAACGATCATAATGGCTGTTTCACTATATTTTCCAGTAGTAGTGGCAGCACATAAAACTAAAATCACCATTTATTACTAATTAAGTTATTAACCTTCGAAAAGTGATGCGCACAATATTGCTTTTTAACAAGCACCACTTAAAAGACGGCATAATTATCGCAGGCGCGCACGTACGCGTAAGTAATACTGATGCGAAAAAAGCATCTTATCAGTAATTCACACAGAGTCGCGGCATAACGGCTGCGGATTCCATGCGCTGCTCCAATGCGCGCGGGAAAACTTGTCAGTGGAACACCAAGTTCAACTTGACTTTTCAGTCGAACGCAATCTGCACCGCATTGCACCATATAAAATATTTTGTTAATCCGCTGCTTTGTATTCAGAATTTAACGATCCTGCAGCTAATAATTAATATGAGCTGATGTATTGGCAAATTCGCAACATTCTCTCCGACATTCAGTCAAAGATATTTACAATTTACTTCGTTTCAACCGTTCTTTCTGGGCAGTGGTAGTCGCAGTGCTGCTGTATCCCCTTGCTTTAACTTTTGATTGTCGATAAGTGCAATGCGCTTTTATTGCCTAATTGCATCATAATCCAAGTGCAGCTGTAGTGCTACCAAGTAAGGTTGTGCTGGATGCGGATGGATTGTTACCGGCCTAACGCACAGAAAACTGGGAGTTTGTTAAGTTTCCAGGGAGGAGTATTCCGTTGAAAATGAAATCAGCTGTATAATACAGTATGTTAATCATGTACACGTTCGTTACCGTTAATTTATCAATCGCGACTAGTAATTCGCTCAGACACAAGTAGGCAACAATCACACCTGCACTCAAATCGTCATTAAAAACTTTGACTTACCACAAAACAAATGCAAAAAAATCATAATTAGTACTAAATCATGAGTAGTAATACACATACTTAGAAGACAGTCCCAACATTTTCTGTGCGACCAGGATTTATGTAATTTCTACCGGTATACTTCATGTCCGACTTCGACAAAATTTGTATCGTTACAAAATTTGTTTTTTTCCGCCAAAAAAGTGCTGATTTAAGGGGTACTGTGACCCACGCGAACTACGGGTGACTACACATATGGATACAAGTACCGAAATAAATATTAATCACCTATTTACTTTTAATGGGGATTTAGCTGGGAAAACAATGTTTTCCGCATCGCTGAAAACATCACTCTCGATTCCTGCTTTCAACTTGAATTGGGAGATGGCTCTAAATCGCTGCTTTGAACACTCCCGCCCTCTACTGGGTGCCAGCCCGTGCAGGGAGTTGAGGATTGAGCGAGCTATTAGTAAATATTTGTAAGCGCTTATGCGTAGGTACAACTAATGGCCCATTGTAACCACGTAAAAATAAGGATTCCCATGATGGGATTATCGTTTTGCAGAATGTTTTCACTGTGACCAGAAGGTACGCACGTAAACCAAATACAGTATTAGCGATGTATAAACGGTCGTTAACAAATTAAGCAGCTTGGCGTACCGGCTATATTTGCTGGATCGTCGTCATCGGTAAATTTAGCCCACTCCTCACAGTATTTGGAAGTTGACGGGCATTGTACGGTATTAGTTGTCACTGGTAGACGACAATCGTTGGGATCCTTTCCATTCATCCATAGACAGTCTCGACACCGCAGTGCTATAGATTCTGACCTTAGCAATATAGTGCAATACTTGACCGTGTTACTCGGCGTACATCAGTTATACAGTTATACGTTTCAAACCGGCTAAAGCAACCAAATATCAAAGTACGAGCGTGAACCAACCGGAAGCGCTGCTGGTAATGGCAGTTAGGGATGCCAAAAACTTGAGTTAATAACTTGACTTGACTTTCAACTCGGTTTTTACAAAAAGTCAAACTTTTTAAATTACTTGGACATCCAAGTTCAAGTCAAGTTATTAACTTGAAGTCGACTTCAAACCGACTTGAAGTCAAATAAAAAGCAAAACGAAAATTTGCCTATAGAGGAGGGAATATTGGACGTCGCACAACCTTTCCATGTACTGTTCCGGTCATCCGCCCGGAGTTTCGCATCACGGTTTCACATAAAGTCTATGCAGCCGTGCTTCGATGGCGGGAACAGTACAGCGAAACTGTGTTGTGCGACATCATCAAAATATTTTAAAGAAATAACGCGGATTTGGTTGGTTTACTTTCAAATTCCTTAAATTATTTTTCAAAACTTTTAAGTCGACTTGAAGCAGAACTTGAGGACTTGGTTTCACACACCAAGTCGACTTCATTGACTTGGTTTGAAAGAATAAGTTCAAGTTAATAACTTGACTTTTCCTCCAAGTTTTTTCGATTAACTCAAGTTATTAACTTGATAAGTCGACTTCGCCAAGTATTTGGCAACCCTAATGGCAGTAGCTTGTAAACCTGGAGTACTTATTGGGTTATTTGGGTGAACATTGGTTAAACGCAAATTTACGCGTTGTATCATTTAAGCACATAATTCATGAGTCATGACACACTTCATCCAACTTCTTGCCAATACAGAACGTTTCCTGCACACGTCTACAATACGCATTAAAGCGTTCGAGCTTTAAAGCAGTGTTGTAATGTGCAAACCCTTGATTTTTTTCATGGTACGGTACACAGTACAGATACTTAGAACAGCTGAGATTACTGCATTTTATAATCGTCTAACCTTTGCAAATTATAAAACAACAGAATACCACGAGCCGTCGCATAAACCCGATTGTTAAAACCACTGACATTTGTGCGTCGCCTGCCACAGATGCAATGACCTCCGACTGAAGTTCGTCAGTTGCTTTCGACTTTAGGCCACATACTCATGATGCTGCGCGCGGCGAATCCGAGTACTTATCTCGATTGACGGCCTGTTGGCTCGTGGGGTACGCAGAACGGTAAAAAAGGATAGTAGTAGTACTACAGTTAATTTATATAAATAATATACAGTGGTGCACTTAATAATACTTATTGCGGCTGCGAGAAACAATTTATTAACAGTCTGTAAGCTAGTACAATTAAAACTGGAAGTTGGTATTATTGCAAACTTCAAACGTGCGCTTACGCAAAAACAAGAATCATAAAAAATTAATATTTTCTGTACTTACAACTTACTTACATATATGTAAAATTATTGCTGTTAATAATTCACACAACATTACGTAGCACGCAAAATTCTTCACGGCTAGTGCTGTTGCCAGGTTGTGCCAGTACTTACTTCCTGAGAAGTCCTTCATTACCTTACTGCATGAGCACAATTTTCTACATTGGGTATTTGCAAAATTAATCCGACAATACGAGTACGTATCATGCTTGGGCCAACTTGAGCAAAAGAAATAAATGACCTCACACTTGATATATCGTATATCAACTGAAAATCCCCTTCCGTGTGATTATTAATTTGTTACTATCGGTGACTGCTGATGCACCATGTATCGATTGTCCCTGGTTTGACGCTATCAAAGAAGCGATTGAATTACCATAGTCCCAATTTCCACTGGCGCCTGATCGGTCGGTGTGACAAGCTGTAGTTGGCTTCTGTTCATTTCAAGGGCACTGCTTCCGGCTTCAGGTTTAGCAACAACGCAGATTTTGCTTTTATCTGTGACACAGTGGATTTTTCGAACCATTTACATACCCACCGTCCCACTGCTTGCTCTGATTTAAGCGACCTAGCCGTGGTAAGGCTTAATATAAAACACCTCTTCGACAACTTAAAGCTACGGCGGGGTCGTAACAACCTTTTTCTTGGTTAAGGATCAAAGTTTCATTTAATAAAACTTTAAAAAGGTTGCTCGAGTTTAATTCAGAAACTTGAAAAAAATGCCACTATTTTGTTCTGCAGCTAACCATAAAGACCGTTTGCTCTTTTATTTATTTTATCGGCAAAGTCTAACAAGTCGGTTTATAACGAGAGTTCTGGTGTATTAAAGGCGATTTGTGCTATAACTTTTTAAATCGTTTCTCAACATCACTTCAGTCGGATGCTACGCGCATAATGAAACTGTTTTTGTACAAATTATTTCGCTGTGAATTGCAAGAAAGTTCTCTTAAGAAGTTGTTAACAGCTTGCAGCAGCGTTAGTGGTAGCGAGCGAACCAGTACACTGTATCAAAATACATTTTACCAAGTTATTTTTACAAGATACGCGTAGGTTAATTCTCCTTGGACGACTGACTGAACTGCATTGGAAGGCAAAAGTTCTCTACTGATATTTGGTGGCATTCATGATTCATGACACTACAACGACTGCAGTAGTTGTGTAACTTGCGTAGTTATCGATCTACCAGTATTCAGCGGGAGGGGCATAAGCACGTACTACTTGTCGGCAACCTCAGTAATATATATAACCTGATAAAATTTGTTAAGTCACGAGATTTGAACTGTCTCCGGAGCTGTCATGAACTTTTCCTCATGCATTATTCATACGGAGAATACCAAATCTAAAGACCGCCACAACATCGCGAAACTGCGCTTACCAAATATCGTCGTAGTGACGTAGTCGTAATATAATACGCCTTACAGCAGTAGTAGTGACACGTTTGTCATTTCCGGTACTGCACTAACACGGTAATGAGTAATCCTATTACAGCAGTTACACGTTTGTAGTTTTAAACAACTGTAATATTAAATCTTTTGATGGCGTCGGCGCGTGCAACGAGCATCGTGATAGGCATTGATTTGGCGTAACTGCGCGATCTCTGCGTACTGCGTACACTGTCATTTGGTTTGCACTAACAATTTCAGCACATAACAGTAGTCTTTGTTAACCTCGAAATCGTTTCTTAAACGTTCGCCTGTATCTCATAAGGCCGGCATCATCCACCAGTTCGGACCGGAAGCGGTTCTTTCTCGGATAAGGTCTTGTAATCTTTCTCTCGCACTAAATCAGATTCACTGCTCAGTCTTCGGGAAGGACCATTGTAAATCTGTGGTCCCAGCGCAGATGCTCAGTGACTAGAGAATGAGCCTGCATTCATAGCATTCCAACAGTTCATGAGTCTACTTCAAAAACTGACAAATAATAACGACTGTACCTGACTGAGTCCGAGGGCCAACAACGCTGCACCGAATTCAGTAAAACGACGTAATGCGAGCTAAGCAAAGGTCGGCTTCTTCCGCGTTTTGAACAGGGCCTCATGGGCCGCTCTTCTGCCGGCCGGATGCCGCGGCGATAACGGTACCACTTCGCCGTCGTCTCACCTGTTACCAGCGTTACTCGGGATTTTCCGGGGCAAATACTTCGTCTGCCGATGCATCACTAACTTTGCTTTCGGTATCTGGCTGACTTTGTCCCTCGTCCTCTTCCGGCTTCTTCTTCTTCCTTCGTTTAACCAGAAACCACCACAGAGCGGCGGCGAGAAGGCCCAAAAGGGCGAGCTGTTGAAAACAATAAAGGGCACGGATGTACAGGGCTTGTCGGAAATTATATGCGCATAAAGACTGCGAAGAAAGCACGTTTATGTTTTGGCGCCAACCTATACACCACGGCGCGCCACACTACAATATTTCACTTTACACGTTACATGAATTAGGCATGGCTGGTGCACGAAACATTCATAATTCAAATATTCATATTTATCATAGTTCTTTGATGTTTTTTACTCGTAACGTACAGTACTTGTAAAGTTGTTTAAATATTTTAGGTGTTGCATTAAATTCAATATTACTACAGTAGCTGTATAGCCTGTAGTGTAGTAGTGGTCATCGTTTATGCCAATATTGCGCTTAGTGGGTAATGCCTGTACCTTTACGCACTCAGTTCCTCGACAAGCTTGTATAACAGTGTCTGTAATGATCGGCGACAGTCTTACTGCGGATAATCACTTACACCACCAACAACTCCTCCAATGATGGCGCCCAAGTTAGGTCCTATAAAGACCAGAAACTGATACCCAGAGCGGAAACCTGACCCTATTTTACTGCAGTTGGACACTACAGCTTATTTTACGCTTTTTTGTGATTTTGCTCATTTCGGGACCGGGCTTACGCAATTTATTCCTTTTAAAAGCTACCAGAACATATAAATTTCCATACTAGCTCGTACATAAGTTTCTTACCGGAATTTGGACAAGACTTTGTGTTCTTACTGGAGCCATCTGGCGGAACTACCAGAGCGTTATGAATGTCAGTATTTATTTCCTTACCGGAACTTTTACTTGAATTTGTGTTCTTACTGGAGCCATCTGAGCCGTCTGTCTGATCTGAACCGGTGTCGGTGGAAACTGTTGTCGTAACCGTTGTCATTGGTGAGGTAACTCCCATTTCGTCAGCAGAATTTGCGCCCAGTGTAGGAATGTATGGGGCTCCAGGTTGGCTCTTAGGGAAAAAAAGCGGTTTGAAATGCATGCAGGTTGAAATTAATGTGTAAGTAAGTCGCTATTTGATTTCAACTAGCCCGCAGTCCCTAAATACGAAATTGCAAAGGTATTGTAATTACTTAAATACGGGCGATAACTAGTTCTGAACCGCACAAGTATTGAGAGACACTAATCACCAAACAAGCCGGCAGACAGATAACCCCACGACGTCAGCTGCGTCGGAAATATACTCTTCCTTATACGGAAGGTTAAAGGTCGACAGAATTTCTGGCTGACGAAAATTGCTTTCGTCAAATTGCCAACCGATTTCTTATAGTAGAAAAATCCGGGATTTACGATGTACTCTGCCATTTGTAGATATGTACTGTATTTGCAGAGCAAAACACGGCTACACCGTCACTTGCAATGTACTGCTGCCGCTGCATCGGTAGACACTTGTAAGCATCAGAAATCATATCGCGCCATGCATGTATCGTTTTATCATTTGCCGCTCAGCATTGCAGCCGCTGGTGTATGCTTCTGAAAACTCACACACGAAATAATTTTTTGAAGCAGTGATTAACATGAACGATAATTAGGTTTAGAAATTAAGCACGATATTCTTCCTGCTGCTTTGCATGAGTCTAGTGTTTCTCGATGACATACCGTCTGAAAAGTGGATTATTAGATGGGTGATTAACTATTGAAACGTTTTTGTGTTAGATTTTGAAAATAAATTTTCTATACCGTTCGCTAAGAAAATTCTATCTGCATTTGGCCAGAAGAAATTCCGTCGACGCTCTGACTTCTTGAAATTTGCGTTTCCACATTGACCTATTCGTAGCCACTTACTGGTACCAAGGGCAGCTGCATGATCTCATCCCACGTCTTATTGTTGCAGTTGTTAGCAAGGCATATGCAGGTGCGATCGGGAAGATCGTGCTGGATTTCTTTACATATGTAGTCTGGGTTGCTCGGTATCCGTTTATCCCATAGTACATCATGATCGGCCTGCTGATCCGTTGCATCGCAGTCCCGTGGGATGGCCGGGTCATATACTAAAGAACCGAAGAATCAGTATTTGCAAATAACACATGCAGTCCTGTTACGGTTAAGTGCCGATGCATCTCGATGGGACAAGGCTGTCATGACGCAGTAACGCGAGGATCCGCATGCAGCACTCTGGCTGGGAATAAAGAACAGGCATCTGCCTGCATCGACGTTGTAGTTGCATTTCATGCACCGCAACGCACTGGCACCTGCAAGAACCATCCCTTATGCCGTGATCGAACTGTGAAGACCAGAGGATATTGGCGAGTGCTGCTTAAAAAGAAGAGGAAGGAGTACGCTCATGATTCATGAATGTAATTTGAACTACAGAATGACAAAATGTGCTTTTTTTCCAATTTGATCCTAATTACAGTATCTGTAATTAGCATCTTCATATCTTTGAATTTTACAGTGCTACAAGGAATTAAAGCAAAAGAATCTTTGAATGCGCATATAGGAGACGCGCCTGAGCAAAACTCACTTGCAACCAGTGCAGCACACCATAGCGCCGCGGCACTGGGGAGAAAACAACGCTTTCCCGATAACATCTCCAGTTAATAAAGGCCAAATAAAGGGCGTGTTAACTTGAATGAAATGGCCGCCCAGTCCAGTATTACATTGTCTACAGCACACTGTTCCTGAAGTTCACGGTTTCCAGATAAAAGGTGAACGTAATCTTACGAATGCAAATTGAACACTGTACATTTTATGGTATAATATGTGCGTAATAAGGATTTTCTTCCTAAAAGAAGTTCCAAGCAGTTTAAAGTTGGTAAGCTAACTAAATATCGAATGATTGAAATAAGTAAATAAGCTACGTCACTAATAAGTCGAACGGAAACTGAAGTAACAGGTAAGGGATGAAACCGTATGCGCGCTTGCAACTTATGTTTTGTACAAAAAATATGATAGTAATTATTGTTGTAGTTGGACAAACATACAGCGTAGTCCTCAGTAAACTCTCAAGAAGCGCGTTTACTACTTAACTGTTTGCTTAATAATTATTTACCTAGCAACCTGAGTCTTAAATTAAGTATTTACCGTAATTATCGAATTTGTGGCTCCCCCCGTAATAAGAGCCCCCCCTGTAATAAGCCCCCCTCCCCGACCGTGTTTGAAAAATAAGGCCACCCCCCGAAATTACGCCCCAGGGGGCCGTTATTAAATGTCAAGCGCTGCAAAATGATAGGTGTACCGCAAATGCTTTTTAAAAATTGTTGTGCTTATGAGCAAACATTATTAAACGCACATCAATATAATGCGGTATTCGTTGGCAAATAGGTGTATGCAGTATGGGGACCCCAATATACGCTCGAAAATGTTGCTGTTGCGTATACCGGTAACTACTGCGTTCAGTTCCACTAGAACTGGATGCGAATTTGTTTGAAATATAGTGCCCCCTCCCAAAAAATACCGTTCGAAAAATAATGCCACCCCCCGAAATTGCGCCCCCTCCCCAAAATAAGCCCCCCTCCACCATAGCCTTCGAACTATTTGTACCCCAGGGCCACAAATTCTATAATTACGGTAATTATCGGTAAGTTAAGGCAAATATTTGTATAGAGATATCTACTGTAAGTATATCATATTGAGCAGTATTAATTAGCTGAGCAGTATTAAATTATTTTATACAAAAGGGCGAAAGTTTTCCGATTATCTCCATACTTGCATGCATTTACTTTATCTTATCTAATTTATTACAAACGATTTTTTTAATAAACCGAAGAAAACATAACTTGGTTTAATAACTGTCAGACTGATTAGTAATCTCGGAAAAGCCACCGAAGATTTTTCTCATTGCCTGCCGGTCCTCTCTAGGGGAGCTGACTTTTGAAATGCTCTTTGTTTTAATAATGTTTGTGTCGGTAAGTACTGTAAGTACAAGACGCACCGATAAACAATAGAAGTAGACAGTGGCAGTTTCCTACATATACTGATATAATTATGATGACTATTTCCGGGGGGTCAAAACCTAAAGCGTTCTTATGTGCATGTTTATGCAGGAACTATATGTGGGAACGCCATGTGCGTCACTGCTTGAAATATCAAGAACCATCTAAAAGATACAGCATTATGCCATAGATCTACCGGATGTTCCCTCTTATACGCAGGTTATTACATAATATACTGAATTCACCATGTTTTACCACTAAAGTTTCCGCACAGCAACTTTCACCACCATCAGGCGATGCCCACCACTTTTCGCACTACTTTTTGTCTCGGGCCTCCTTTTTTATGACATCACTATGTACATCAAAATCCCGGCAGTCTCAGAACAGCACCTAACAGTTTCAAAGACATACAGTGGTCGGTTGTACAGGTATATGCGATTTATATGGTCAATTCCCTTGACCCACAGGAGGGTTCCTTTTCCGGAAAAACCTTCAGAGAGTGAGTAATAACAGCATTCAAAGCTAAGCGTGAACAAAATCTCAAACACCGTCCTGGCCGGGCGGCCGAGTGAGTAAAAATGAATAGCGGAATAGTAGTCACATGGTATAAAAATACTAATTTTGTTGGGTAAGTGTTATTACAGTAGTACATCCAGCTGCAATAAGGACAAGTAAAAACTGAGAGTATACGATTAGTGGTGGCTCTCTTTCTTAAGATCAACCTGGGCTAGCACTGCTGCTGATGCAAATGGCAAGCGAACAACCAAACTACGGGTGCATTACCACACCTGATTGTGACACTGATTACCGTGAAATCATATATATTTATACTGGGAGAGCTGTCTAAAAACTGCCTTTATAAATAACAGAACAATCCGAAGCACTCAACACCGCTCGTACAGCGAACTTCCGCAACTACGAAGATAATCTGTGGCTCGGTTTTGGCTTGAGCGATCTCTGTTTTCCCACAATTCGATGCCGGGCTATTCGTCGCCACCGCTACCACCACTCTCTTCACTGTCATTACTATCACCGGAGTCATCGCTTCCCTTTTTCTTTTTTTTCTTCTTCCTTTGAGCCAGAAACCACCACAGACCGCCACCGGCTGCGGCAAGCAAGGCCAACTAAAAAACATGGCTGTGCAGGTACGTAATAAGTTCCTTAATCAAATTTCTTTCTTCAAAATTTAAGATGCTAGTACTTACTAATCCGGCGACAACCCCAGCGATTAAACCGGTGTTAGAGCCGCCGGTGCCGCCTGAAACTGAAACAGTAAAACTTATACAGGGTGAGCGAGTTTATACACTCGGCAGGATATTAAACGGAAGGCTTCGTGTTCTGGTAAAATTACCCTTTCCATTACCACTTTCAGCTGCCGGGGCGTCGCTGGTATCGGTATTCGATGCATTCCCGGCTTTCGTTGTACTGAAGCTGTTGCTGTTAGGAGTTTTACCGTCTTCAGAACCAGGATCCCCTGGGCCTGGATTGACTGAAATGTTTCCACTGGGAGGGTTGTCAGTAAAAATTTTCTCCGTATTGGCTAAGGAGTTGTTCCCCAATGGTTCGCGGATTGGCTTGTCGGCTGGTGTGTATTTGCCACTCTGTATCAGTGCACGTGCAGAAATATTCGGTGTTTAAACACAATGCGTGGGACAAAGTCCATTAGACATATTTCTAGTATCGATACTTTGCAACTACATCCTGTGTTATTGTAATTCTACTACTAACCAGTAAAGTACTATCAAGCGTATTACCGTGGGACGGGAGAGGTACGAGAACCCTGTAAATGGGACGTACCGGTCTTCTTGGTATAGTAGGCAGCTGCATCGCGTCATCCCAGACCATCGCATTGCATTTGTCCTCGGTACAGATACAACGTACATCAGATAGTGGCTGACCATCTGGTCCAGTGATCTTGCGCTGAAGCTTCGTACAGAATATTTTTTCTCCATTGGGTACTGCTACGGCATCAAATGCTTCGGGGTCGTGTGGAAATTCATTTCCCGTATTAGAGCATCTCCTGTTCATTATAGGACCTGCAACTCACAAGACCATACGTAGTCAGTGATAACTGAAGACTTATAACTTGCTAACATCGTCCCAATACAAGAACCGTTGCAGCAAGGATGCCCTCTTGTAATACTGGTCACAAAATACTTAGCGCATGGTATCCTTTGTCTAAAAAACGTTCGAAAACGACCAGAAAGCAGTCTTCGTAACAAATTCCATTGCTTGGAAAGTTTCTAAGAGGACGTAGTTTTAAATGCCAAAGGTTTCACATAATATGCTAGCCCTCATTCCTCGGAGCTATATCTTACAATAATATCAACTTCGATTAATTGGGAGTTTTGTTTGTAAATGTGCTAGGATGTTTCCTGGTACTGTAACTGTCACAACAAATGGTACGAGTGCCACCGAAAGTCATTATCGATTATAACAACAAAAATATTAAGTAAGATACTGCTGCTTCAGATTACAGCCTACAAGTAATACAATACGATGAACGGCTTCAATGGATCCTCGGTAAAATTAGCGCAAAAGTTGTGCCGCAACGATAATATGGCAAAAAAGGCTTATTTTCTTACGGGGCGCTGTACGCCTTCATCTAGCGTCCTTCGGTTTGTAAATTACTAGTAATATCAAATCGAAAATTAAATAATATTAGCATCTGCGGTTTACGAGTTCGAAGGCATACTGTACATCGCTATTCCGTAGCAAACGCCTTCAACTTCCTGCCTTGATGAGTAAATGTTTCAAGAGCGAGTCTGTGGCCAGTGGCCACGTTTACCAAACGTTAACTGTAAACGGCAACAACTTAGAGCGGCACAAATGCTTGTACAGTAAAACCTGCGTACTTTGAACATCTGCGGTTCCAATTTTTTCGTTCATTGTAGACGCCTGTTCAATGTACAGAACAGCTGCCCCCAAGGGGCCTCCCCTGGGGGCAGTGATTCTGCGCACTAAAGCTGCTCCTGAGGGCGAACGGACGCCGCCTCAAGGGGACAACCCCGTTAACAAGCCTTTTTATGCTATTTTCGCGCCTAGCAAATCAAAAATCGTGTGGTGTTAAAGTTGAAACAAGCGAATGGCTAGTGGAATCTGGTCCGTTGAGCGCTTTTCTTGTGTTTCTTCGTTCCCAGACCCAGTTTCTGGCGCTTTTTTTAATTTCAAAAGGGCTAAATATCAGTAAATAATTAGCTCCGTTCCAGCTAATTTGTTCAGTGTTCACTTTAGAGAGATGTTCAATATACGCGAGGTCCTCCCTGTGTTATAGTCTGCGTGACGCGCCGGTTCCCGGGTTCCGTAATGGCCGTTCAATGTACACCAGTGTTCAGTTTACGCGAGTGTTCGAAGTCACAGGTTTTACTGTACAGGTACAGTCTGCAGTTGTGGCGATTAAAGTAGGTGTGAAACGGCAAAAGCCTAAATTGCCGACTGATGGATGCCGCTACGGTAATTCCGTGGTCCAGTAAGCTACAGACTGCATGGACTTCCGGTACCGGTTGGTGGTATCGTGGCATCACTGGCATGTGTCGCTTTACACACACTGCCGATGTTCCGCATCAGATGTGAAGCAACCTTATACTCTACTCTGCACAGCATAAAGTAGGTATGTATGTGTTTCTACAATTACGCTCTTCCGTGCCACGTCTGTAAGTGTGCACACTGGCGATTAAACTAAGGCCCTTACTCCATTTCCCCCGAATCTTTTCCACGCCAGTTCCAACTACGCATGTTCTAATTTGTGCTGGGCAGACTTCCACTGTGTCGTCAGTCAGTTTCACGCACTGGTACTTGTTTGTACCGAAATCGCATCTGTTACAGGACAACGACTGTCCACCTGTAATCAAAAGCAGGCATTGAACGTTTGTGAAATGAAATGTTTCTTACGGTGTACATACAATATGCAGACAGAAGAAAAAATGGTTGCTTCGTTCAAACGCATATTGCGCATATAAGCGTCTTTTTTTACCTTGCATGGGCTTTTTAGCAGTTGTCTTCTACTTGCATACCTCCTCATGCTAGCAAGTAATGCAGTAGCACATGCTGTTGTGCCCGGTTTTGTGTGTGCTGATAATTAAAACCTCACAGTGTGATGTTTTGAAATGCAAGAACATGCGACGGCCGGTGTAACGCGGGCTACTTGCAGACAGTTATTAAGGTTAGCGCTACAGAATTTAACGGGGCTGTTGCCTTAACGATACAATTTGGAAAGTCCTTAACTGTTTAGCGGACGTTTGACTCGTTAATCCGTCCAAATCATTCTAGTGCCTTTTGCGTTTCCTTAGGTTATACACAAGTGGCCGTGAAATGTTCTTTCGAATATATTACAAATAATTGGCGTTGTGTATATCGACTCATAGGACTAAGAATTAAAGCCTCCTAGTTCAGCGGGGGAAAAGGATACTTCGAGTTAGTGGAAGGTTTAACAGACACTCGTACAATGTTTACTGTATCTGCGATGTATTTTCAATGCATTACCGAAATATTGCAGCCAGTACTGAGTACGATACTGCCTTTGAATCGTTTCAGATTCTCGCTCTTTCGATTTTCCGTATGAATTTCTGACAGCACTGAAACGCTGGGAGTGAGACAAACCATGCGATCTGGTTTCAGCCTTTCAGGTTTCTACTGGAGCGCAATACGATTTACATTTACGAGACTTCTTGGAAACGGGTTGTAGGGTCAGGTGCGTGGTACGACAAGTCTTGCAATAGTTTTGCTGTATTTTTAATTTTTGGTACCACTGGCACTGACCGTTTAGGCAGAAAAGAATCCACAAGAGAATACTGAACACCGTGATAAAGTTCCACATTAGGTGGGGCGAAATCGGCAAGATCAGTCGGAAATAAGGCTTATTATTATATTATCCGTCCTAGTCGTGAGCTGCTACAGATCAAGTATTGCATTTACTGCAGGGGATCGTGGGTCTCCGTGTTGTACTATTTCAGGGAAATCAAGACGACGCATATTTCATCAACTTATGTTCTGCCTCGAAAATTTCAGTACCAACAGTTTATAGTACATCAACATAATCTGGCTTTCAAATTACAGGCATTCCATTGGAGGTTGCGCACCATCAGTCAACTATTACAAAAAGCAACAAGATGACAGAAATCAGTTATCCAGTTTTTTAATACACTAGAACGTTAGAACTTGGATTTCATAAATAAACAGCATTATTTTTATAGCTAAATCTTGGCAACCGACAGCAGTATTATTACTGTAGTTTACTACTGCAAAAGTACAGTGTACCGTACAGTGTAGTGAGTGTACAGTGTACGTACAGTGTATCTGTACGCTAAAATAAATGGAAGAAAGCGGTGCGTAGAGTAATTAAGTGCAGACAGTGCGGTGCTTGTTCTAATACTAACTGTACAATAAGTATTCTAATGACTCACCATCAGAACTGTACAGACACTGGCTACACTTCTGCCACATTTCAAAGTAGCTATGTAGAAGTAGAAGAACAGCAAGCATTCCACATTATGAAACACTTGCGATAATTTTTAAAAAAATCTTTTTCGCTTAGAAACACTAAACAGTGATTCTTACGGCATCATAATGTGTGCACACAATATTTTTTCCTGGGTCCAGTCAACACTTTAGCTGCGGTCAATCCGCCACTCAGTCTCATGCACTCATCCGAAGTTCCGAACATTTACGTCATCACATTTTCACAAAAAATGTAAAAATATCTTGTGCAACGGGGCATGTGATCCGCGCTGACAACGCAGTCGCGAATTAAGACGCTATGACGTTCTCTTTCGTCACTCATCGTCATCCTCGCTGGCTTCCGTGCCGGCCGTGTTGTCACTCGCTCCACTGCTGGTGCTGGATCCCTTCCGTCTCCGTACTTTGAACCAGTACCATAGGCCACCGCCCACGGCGGCAGCCAGGATCACCTATAGAGTACAAAATATTCTGTACTTTTGGTTGAACGCTGTTTTCTGTGGTGATGATGTAAACAAACATTACTAATCTTGAATTTAATTTCAAAGCTGATTTAACGGCGCCGTATTTAAAGTTTACGCAAGCTTTGGTTATGATATTTTCTTCTTACCACGCCAACGGCTATTCCGATAATCAGTCCAGTATTCGAGCCACTCGCTGCAAACAGCAATTTACCGGATTTACGAAGTCAAGGTTGAATTTGGATACTCATGGATAACCATCGAGGAATAGAACGATCGCCGATTTAATCATAATAATTCATAACTATCTGCTTTGAATTTTGCTTGTACTTCGATTATTTAGAGTGCCAGCAGCCAGAGAAGGCCTATCCGGTCAAAGTTAACAATAACGCGTGCATTCAAAAAATGTTTACCTGCAGGGTTACTGTGGGAGTCCGTGCCGGATGTGGAGTTACCGCCTGCAGTAGTGTTATTCCCGCTGGTTTCGGTGGTGGTGCCGATCGCGGCTCCACCCGAGCCGTCAGCGTTGTTGCCATTTCCGCTGGGTGAGGCGATGACTGTGTAGTTCGACCATGCGCTGATGTTAGCCAGAGAATTACTGCCCAATCCCGTCGGAACAACCAGTTTATCCTTATCGGTGAAGTTCTCCTGTGATACAGTTAAAGGATTATTTCAGCATGGACACAATATCCAAGACGGATTATTGCGTCCTGCTGCTGAATTAAAATGTCTCTACCATTGAGTTTGCAGTGGACCCTAACTCTTATATGTAGTTTCTAATAATATTCGTTATAAACTGAAGTCGCCAGTAAAAGAATTCTTGCGGGATGATGGAATAACAGGTCTAGTGATAGAATTATTTACTTCAGAATGATACTATATGCCTAGTCTAAGTTTGCTAAAAGACAAAATCACAGCGAAGATGCTTATAAGACTAAACACAGAACTCGAGCATCATTTATTCCCGATCCGCCATTATTTACCGGTAAGGTTGGCTGCATAAAAACCTCGTCCCACATCTTATTGTTGCACTTGTCCTTGGCGCACAAGCAGCGTCGGTCGTTCCATTGGCCATTGGGTCCAAATGGGTCTTCTCGTGTCACGTTGAAGCAGATGAATTCTTGCCCTTTCGGCAGGCGCCTAAACTTATCGGCATCATCAACGGCGTCGATGTCAAACGAACAGTGACGGCTCATTGCCGGAGCTGCAGTCATTAACCCCATGACATAAACATAAGGTATACAGCTAAAATTTTCGGGAAAAATAGCCATAATATCGTACTATTTCGGAAATCCGAAAAAGTGAAATCCTGTCGGATGCCCGTCACCGTGACGCAAGTTATTGTGTTGGGTTTACACGTCTCCGCGGTGTCGTTGGCCAGACCGGCGAGACAGCGATCGCGGTGTTCTTTAAGCTGACATCGGTTGCAGACTAACGGGAAAACAACTACAACAATACAATCACACCGGAAAATAAAATCTACACCAATTTTCCATACTTTTCCGACCAATGCCTTATATGGGCTTCCTATGCAGTACAAGCCTATATTTGGGCTCCCGGCTAGTTAAAAATGCCTGTCAAATTAAATTTATCGGAATTCTAGCAGAACCGTTTTCTGTTTATTTCAACAGGATTACAAAGTTACAAACAGAGACATTACATTAATTTTGACAAAGTGACGAACACACATTTTAGAAAAATTCTGAATCTGTCGTTGATGCAACGTCCTGAACACTGTGATACAAACTAAATTTAAGGCGCGATTCAAGTATTACGTAACGCGATTTTTCGTGATTTTGGACCACCCCCCACCCCTTGTAACACCGCATAACAAAACTTTCGACCCCCTAACTGCATACGTAACAGAGAGCCCGACCACCCCCCTGTTAAATTCCAATTAAAATATAATAATTTTTTTCGTTTTTTTTGGGGCGTCGACCCGCACGTAACAAAAGTTTTTAGGCCCCTTACCCCATGTAACACGGGGTAACAAAAACCCATGACCACCCCCCTCCCCTTAGCGTTACGTAATACTTGAATCGCGCAGTAATGCTAAAAAAGTACTGTTAAAATATTTACTTTGAATAAATCGAACTTTTTAGCCAGCCATAATAGCTGCGAAAGTGGGAGATACGTATAACGTAACCGCACATACAGAGGGTTGCCCATATTGCTCAGGAGCCCACACAACGGATAGTAAGCTAAGGGGAGCTCATATAAAGCATTGGACGAAGTATACTTAATTTATATGGGTGTATAATTATGTTTTTCTATCGAACAGTAATCGACCAGTTTTTTTGGGATTCCTGCTCCCTTGTTCATACACATTTACACAGTTTTCTAGTGTGCGATTTTTGCAGTAACTTAAAATATTCTCCTTGCCTGAAATAAGATGTGGCGACAAGAAGAATAAAAAGACATAAAAATGGTAAAACAAATAAAATTCACTGGGTGGGTGGAGTAGCACCATCGTGATTCAGTATGACATGATTTAAATCGTCAACTTTCTCCGGTGGTGCACTAAATCAGAATTTGCAACATAAGGATTCCTTGGTTTGTAATGTTACGTATATGAATTTAATTTTCGGCAGAATTTAGCATACTCCTTTATAATATACGGCAGTTTTGACATCGCAACGACCGTTTGAACGCAAGATAACAGCAGTGATGGAACACAAGGACGTTCGATGAAAATCAGGTTTAAAATATTGCAGTGCAAGGATTCATGCAAATCATTGTACAGTGTTAATTCAAACAGCATAATTACTAGTATGCCTGCTTCATCATGAACGCAAGAGTCGTCCACATATTTCCAGTTTTCTTTGACGGATACTGTCTGCGCGCTATACTAACTCTAAGCAACAAGATCTTTAGCTTTCAACTTGCATTCTCATCTGCTGTCAATAAACTCACGACAGTCATACCGGTTACCTGTAATTTATGGGACATAACTTACTGTGAAATTCATAGTGTGGCAGATTTTGCAAAAATTTCCAATCTGTTGTACATATATGCTGGTTCTTATAAAACGGCGATTTGTTGTTAGACAACCGCATTTGATTTTAAGACCTTTACCACAGCAGCAGAAAAAAAGAAATCGTAATTATTTAATCGACCACCCTGCAGAACGTCAATTGCGGTATGACACGCCCACTGCGTACGCTTGCAGAGGGTTAACCGCGGCCGGAAACACTAAGCATAGGTGGCGGTATTGAATTACTTATATGTAGGTTGTCGAGACCGTGACTACCGTACAGGTACGTACATTCAGACTCTGTAATCTGTATACACAGAATGTCTAATAACGTGTATACAAAGTGCAGAACCTTACAAGCGACGAACTTCCCAAAATTTTATTATTAAATTTTTCATATAATTTTACAAAATAAATCTGTGTCGAAACCTATGACACTGTACTGATGGCGGACGGGCCGTATGAACGCGCCGTGCCGCAAAGTAAGATGCGCGGTGTGCATGCAACATCAGACTACCCACGTGGGTTTGGATTTGCATGAAATTTTTAAGAGTTATTCAATCTGTCCAGGTGAGCAGTGGCAGATGAACGCTTAAATGTGAAAGAGAAACGTTGATAAACACAAAGCTTTCAGAGAGACAATTGAGAAGTTTATCGTAGAACGGATGCTTCTTTAGCACGGTGATTTAAGCGGCGATTTTAAATAAACCTAAATGTAAATGGTCCAAGCGTTGTAAACTTGTATTTGTACAGACTGTATTTAATGAATACAGCTTGGAAAACGGCGCAGAAATAACAGAACGAAAACTTGTTACGGACACCATAAAATGGCAGGTAAAACTGCCGTTTTATCGCAGTGCCATTATTCAGTTCAAGAAGCATGAAGCTGTGGTTGATCAATCGAGACCCCGCAGTTTAGTCTCCTCTTCATTCATACTTCAATATCATCACATTACTTCATGAAGCGTGGGACCTTTCGTTCGCCAGTAAGGCTTGCAGCCCTACGCTGACAAAATACTAGCCGAACAGTCGCTACGTTACTATGTTTCTCATCCATCACTCATCATCCTCGCTGGCTTCCGTGCCCGCCGTGTTGCCACTGGCTCCACTGCTGGCGTCCGAGCCCTTCCGCTTGCGTACTTTGAACCAGTACCAGAGGCCGCAGCCCACGGCCGCGGCAAGGATTAACTACCGAGTATGTATTGTGTAATACATGTCTATAAATGTGTGCACTGTTACCTAATAACCGCTATATTCGGTTATGTTCATGTAGGCGAAAATTACTTCAAAGGTCATGTAGTAGATAGTGCTGAATTTTAAGTCTAAGTAGTAGAACTACGTTAAAGAAATTCATAATATTATAAGCTGCTTACCACGCCAACGGCTATTCCGATAATCAGTCCGGTATTGGAGCCTCTCTCTGCAACAAGCGTTTTTCGAAATCACTGTTCAATATGGGTGCGCATGAGATATCATCAAGGAATACTAAATCGCCAATTTAATCATGATTCATATTTCATATACTGTTGATATGCTTTGAATTTTGCTCATATTTTGATTACTATGCGTTTTGGCCGTAATATGAAAGGAAAGAGCGCCTGATAATTCTTCGACCTATAATAATCACGTGGCGTACCAAACGCCCAAGGCTGTATGCGCCGCATATAATAGCTACCAATTACGCGCCGTATGCAAGGAATTTTTACCTGCAGAGTTGCTGCCAGAATTCGTATCGGATGTGGAATTACCAGCAGCTGCCGTGTCATTCCCGCTGGCTGCGGTGGTGGCGTCGATCGGGGCTTTTCCCGAACCGTTAGGATTGCTGCCATTACCGCTGGATGAGGCGATGACGGTGTAGTTGGACCATGCGCTGATGTTAGCCAGGGAATTACCGCCCAGTCCCGTCGGAATGACTGGCTTATCCTTATCGGTGAAATTCTCCTGTATACAGTCAATGAATTAATCAGGCCGTGGAACAGACCAAGATTTTCGAAGAACGTTTCTGCTTTAACTGAAATTTGTACGAATGACTTTACAGCGCACAGCAAAGAGCCTTTACTATTTTAAAAATATTCTTTATGATGTAGTAACCAAAGGGTTTCTGCAAGATGGTGTATGAGTAAAAGGTGTGCTACTGTTAACCGAATTAATTACCGGTAGAGTCGGCTGCATAAAGATCTCATCCCACATCTTAATGTTACACTTGTCTGTGGCGCACAAGCAACGCCGGTCATTGTAGTTCTTGCCGTCAGGTCCCCCGCCATCGCGTGTAACGTTGAAGCAGATGAAATCCTGTCCTTTAGGCAGCCGCCTCCAAGTGTTGGCATCGTCAACGGCGTCGATGTCCCACGTACAGTGACGGCTGATTAGTGGTGCTGCAAGTAGCATCACGAAAAAAATTAATTACAAACGTGCCTGTTTTCAACCCTGCTTAGGCCTGTTTTATTAATGTTTGCATTACAACGGTTTATTGTTCGTCGTCTCAGTACGGTCAAATGCTTACTGTAATAGCAAGATGCATTTCATTTGTAATAGCAAGATGCATTTCATTTTCAGAGTATATTTCTTTAATCCATTTTTGTGTTTCTTGTAGTTTTTGCTATTTTTGTACCATGTACAAAAACCGTGTACCATGTACCTATGTACGTTACGAAAAACGTATCAGACCGAGAAAAAGTTAAAAGGGATAATTCCGTACTATCTCGGACTGGGGACAAGGTGTGGTCCGCCCGAACGCCTGTCACCACGACGCAAGTTATTGTGTTGGGTTTGCACGTCTCCATTGTGTCGTTGGCCAGACCACTGAGACAGCGGTCGCGATTTTCGAGATACTGACATCGATTGCAGACTAGCGGAGTAACCACTGCAACGCAAACAACAATAAAAAGGGGAAACTTGCACTTTATAGTCGAATTTTAATTGAAAAATTTCCAAGAAAGTCAAAAAAATAACAAATTATACAAAAATGTAATCGAACAAAATAAAAATAGTTTGTTAACAAATAGCGAGAATAGACATTTAAGAAAAAAATGAAAAGAATAATGAAAATCAAAGTTCTTATCTGAAAAGCGCACTGCTTACCTGGATTAATAAATGGCAACAAGATAAATAAAAAGACATAAACAGCATAAAACACATAAAATTCAAATGGACTGTGGAGTGCCACCATAAGGATTTAGTATCACAGGAACAAAACATTCATTTCTTCGGACAGCACCAAAGTATGGCAACATTAATGACGGCGTGATTGGTGAAGTTACACAACAAACAGCACTCAGGGCAGGATGAGCTACTACTAGTTTGCGACGCCATTTTAATATTTAGATACTGCAACCACTTGAACGCAAAAATCGGCACTACTTAAAAATAATACACCAACTACAGAATACCTTTGGCGAGAATAAGATATAATACATTTATGGTGCACGTCAAATTCTGCAAATTTACGCATAAAACACAGCTTCAGAGTACTTACATTGACGGAGGCAGTAGTGGTGTTTCTCCCACTTACATATAACTGCGCTGCCACCAGCGGATGTTGTCAGCGCTGCCGTATCCAAGCAACAAGAGCATTTCCGGTTCCGGTGCGAACCCCATCTGCCCGACTCTGCCGTCAATATTACAGTAACAGTTAATTGTTGTTTCTCTTTCTCTTTGAAATTTGAAATGTATCAAAAATTTTAAATTTTTTTTTCAAAGCAGTAATGTTCTTATGGGGATTCAGCGATTGTACATTGTGTTTTGTTACTTGATTTGGTGACCTTTAATGCAGACTTGCATTTGCAGCAGTTAAAAACAAAGAACAAGTATCAAAAATTAAAAATCTAAAAACCACTGAAGGTTTTTGTAAGGTGTAAAAACCAACCGACACCGGTAACAAGAAACAGTCGAGTGTACACTCCGTCCGCAGTCGTCGTACGTATTATCGACACAACCACAACCGTCACGTGCTATCGGCCAGTAGGCTTCTTTTTGGCACCTTTGCAGTTACATGCAGTGGTAATACAAATATCTTGTCAGTGCAGCCACATTATTAAGGGTGCCACTAACAATCGGTGTATGCGACGTTTCAGCGTGCTACTGGGTCACTCATTGTCGTCGCTGACTTCCGTGCCGGCAGTGTTGTCGCTGGCTCCACTGCTGGCGCTGGAGGCTTTTCGTTTCCGTACTTTGAACCAGTACCATAAGCCACCGCCCACGGCCGTAGCCAAGATCAACTGCCGAGCAATATTAATTTGAATTTCATAGTAAATACAGTATGCGTGTTTTCAGCTAACCGGTGTGTTGTGTTGCGGTGCAAATGATGGCGAAAATTATTAGATTAATACAGTAAATCAAAGGTCAATACAGCGCTAGCTAAATTTGGAAATTTAAAGTAATAAAAATTTCTTCTGCTTACCACGCCAACGGCAATTCCAATAATCAATCCGGTGTTCGAGCCATCTTCTGCAACCAGCACTTTATGAAACCACAGTCCAATTTGGTTGCGGTCGCGGACGAAAAACTTATCGATGAATAAATCATAGAATGAGTGCCAGTTCATCATGACAGTGATGCAAAACTGATAATATGTTTTTCTCCTATATGAGCAGTTCAGTAACTTCGACTTTGGTGTCGTAAATGCTAACGGATACGTTGCCTCATATTCTTACAAGGTATATGTAGTTTTAAGGTTATGGAGTATTGGGCCATATGTGCCTACCGCCAAGGGTGGCATGCGTAGATGGAGTTAACAGTCTGAGGAATTTTTACCTGCTGATTTGCTACGAGAATCCGTGCCAGATGTGGAATTACCGCCGTCTGCAGTTTCGTTACCGCTGGCTGCGGTGGTAGCGCCGGTCGAGGCTCCTCCCGAACCGTCAGGATTGCTGCCATTTCCGGTGGGTAAGCCGATGACTGTGTAGTTCGTCCATGCGCTGATACTGGCCAGAGAATTACTGCCCAGCCCCGTCGGAATGACCGGCTTATCGTTAGCGGTAAAATTCTCCTGTGTACAGTTAAAGAATAAATCCAGCAATGAAACATATCAAGACTTTTAAAGAAGGCTTTTGAGTGTTACTGCTTTAACTGAAATCTGTACGAATGACTTTGTAGCGCGAAGCGAAGAACCCTTACTATTTTTAAAATAATGATCTGCATGTAGTAGTAAAAGGGTCTCTGCTAGATGGTGCTTGCACAAAAGGCCTCTTAACAAAATTAATTACCAGTAAAGTCGGCTGCAAATAAATCTCATCCCACATCTTAATGTTGCACCTGTCCTTGGCGCACAAACACCGCCGGTCAACATAGTTCTTGCCGTCGGGTCCTTTGCCAAGCGAGTCGTCCCGCGTTATATTAAAGCAGATGAATTCCTGTCCTTTAGGCAATCGGCCAAAAATGTCGGCATCGTTGGTGGGGTTCAACGAGCAGTGGCGGCCCATTGCCGGAGCTACAACCATACGTGCCCCAAACAAGCCCATATCTAATAACCCTGTCCTGCTGCGGCTTATTGACTGTTTAATGTATAAATGTTTTCTTATGTGCTGTAGATAGTGAAATAAAAGAGGAATGCGCAGGAAAATTGAGGGAGAGAAGAAATGACACGGGTGTACTGTTTCGGGAAGGGGAGAAAGTGGTGTCCTTCCGGAGGCCCACTGCTGTGACACAGGTTGTCGTGGTGTCGTCGCACGTTTCCGCTGCGTCGTTGGCCACACTGAGACAGCGATCGCGCTTGTCCAAGAACACACATTTGTTGCACACTAACGGGCTAACGTCTATAACGTAAATCGACATGACAGTTAACAAAGGGGTATACCGTATACGTGCAGAGTTTACCAGAGTTTTTATTAAAAAAAACTTCAAAAAATTGAAATACTCTACAGATATATGTGGGATGAAAACAGTACATAATACAAATGCAATCGATAACAAATTTAAGACGTAAATGTAAAATAAATTCGTAAATTAATATTCAAAATAATTAAAGTAGAAGAGAAATCAACTCAAATCCATTGCAGCAAACCAAATCAACTGCACACTAAACACTGTAATGGTTAACTTAAAGCCTAACGCAAACGACTAATATAAAATATACTGTAATTATTTGTATAAAGTCCCACATCAAAATTTTCTAACCAAAATTTCGAAAACAAAACTGCACAATGTGCTCTATTGGTGACCATTAGACTAGAGGTCTCAAACCGTACAAAATTTTCGTACGGTTACGTACGGTATGAGTACCAGCCTATGCTGCTACGGTACGGTACTTAAAAATTCGAATTTGTTGTAAATAATATAAACCACCATTATATGTATATGGGAAAAATTACAGAAAGTTAAACATTAATAGCTTTTAAATCAATAGCTTTTAAACAATACGTATTACTGCTTGCCTGGAATGATATATGGCGACAAGACAAATAAAAAGACATTAACATGATATAACAAATAAAATTTAACGGGAATGTGGAATAACACCATTGGGATTTAGTATTGCAGCGGGAAGGCTTTCCTTTCATTGGAAATCATGGCGATGTTGTGTTCTATTTTCTAAGGCAATTTTAAATTTTATATTACAAATTTACAACCATTTGAACAAAAAAAACAACAAGTAAAAACTCTTTGGAAATTTAATACAGCTAGTGATATTTATATCAGCAGTTCATGAAAATTCTGCAATACAACATTATAAATACGGACTTTAGCGAAGGAAGAAGTCGGTCCTATTGGGCAGACTCTAATTTCGTGCATCTCCTCTTCTGCAATGTTTAGCGGATGTTGTCGGTGCTGCTGGCTCCTAGCAACAGTGGCATCTTCCGGTTTCAACGCGAACGTCAAAATAATCTGCAGTAATATTGGATTTTTATCTGCACAGACACTGTAATACTAGGAAGGTATAATTACAATTATTTTCAGTTTATCGGCTCAGTACTGTACTAGTACTAGTGTACGAGTATGATTAACGAAGAGTAGCTGGTGACCAATGGACACCTGCCACCACATTTAACATGCGGTTACGGCCAGCGCGCATTTCGTATTTAGGGTGGCCGTGCATATGTGCATTTATTAATAGGGTAATCGTGCATATGTGCATCAGGTGGCGGTGACCGACGGACACCACATTTTCCATAAACGCTTAACATACAGGACCTTCGCTGCGGTTCGGTCGATTAGTGTGTACGCAACAGAGAAATTAATTTTTTCGAATACTTTGAAGGAAATTAAGGCATACCTGCTGCATGCTGCTAGTTGCAATGAATATTACCGATAATGATTATGTATTGATGGCCTTCACCACAGGCTCACATTCGCAATACAGGAAAAGGAAATACGAGAAAAACTAAAAATTTAAAACTACTGAAGGTCTTGAGAATCTCCTTCAGTCAACCATCACACGTAGTCACGTACATAACGCCAATCAAAATACGTCCGTCACCGATTACATGAACATTCGCGCGTTCAAACGCTGTATACACATAACCATCGGCACAACCATAAACGCTTCATACTATAATTGTACAGTGGTGTACCACAAGCTTCTTTTGGCATCCGCGCGATGTCATGTCACCAGTAAATACGTATGCAAATAACGCAGTTACAAAACGCGGAGAAAGACTTGACAGCGTTCTCCTGTGTCACTCGTCGTCGTCCTCGCTGGCTTCCGTGCCGGCAGTGTTTCCTCTGCTGGCGCTGGAGCCCTTTCATTTCCGCACTTTGAACCAGTACCATAGGGCATCGCCCACGGCTCCAGCCAGGATTAACTACCGAGTATTAAAGTTACTACTACGTTCTTCTTTAAAGTTTAAATTAAATTATCCTGTTATCTGTACACCTAATTATTTTTCGCCATTCATGTGTTTAAACTTTTTCCCTTGGTCATATTTCTGAAGTGTACGTATGCGTATGTGCGTATATTGTCAAATCAACCATTGGTTCGCCAAATAATCTAAATAAAATAAAATAATGTCAACAGTGTGGTCGCCAAATCCACGGCTGGCTTCGGCACTTTTTCGCCTCCTTACATTAAGCTAGTACCGGAGGATACCGGTTGTGATATAAATGAGGAACTGAAGCAAACAATAAAGCGCAAATTTAGGCGTCCGTTAAAGAACAACTAAAGCGTGAAATTTTTATATTCGGCGTATGGTAATTACTGTAAATGGGAGTGTTTAGTGCTGAAATACTCGGTTAGCGGTTAACCGCTCTACCATAATGCTGTAGACAAAATTAATAGTTTAATTCCAAAGGTCACTTGATTTCTGTTGAGTTTTGAAATTTATCTGTAAGAAGTAAAGTAAATTCTAGTAGGTTCTGGTACTGCGATACCCCGACTATTCTGGTACGGTCGTAATAAGGCCAGTAAAGCTAACTGGAACCACTGTCTGTAACAAACAGTTGACAATGCCGTAGTTCAAACTTATATTATACGTTCAGCACTTCAACCTTATCAGTATCTGACTGAAGATATGAGTACAGTAACTGATTACCAACTGCCGGTCCTCGACAATGCCGACTATGTAGGTTATCGTATGCCCACGGTGCCGTATTTCTTGGTTGTGGAAACTGCGGACTCCTTTTCTGTTGTCTTTCAAAACATTGGCTGTAAAGGTAAACGTTAGAGAAAACAGTGAACGTCTTTTTTCAATTAACTGGTGCACGCTCGGAACACCATGGCGTCACCTGTTCCCATTTTGGTTCTGCTGGCTGTGGGAGCCACTGTGGTCCTTTCGGAAAAACCGCCCAATGTTATTTTGATCGTTGCAGACGATCTGGTTAGCACCCAGCGTTCTTCCACCGCGTTTGTAACTGTCAGATGGACCTGGGTTGTTTCAGGGCTGGAATGATGTGAGTTTTCATGGTTACACCCAAATCCCCACGCCCAACATTGATCGGCTGGCGGCCACCGGCATGGTTTTGAATAGCCACTATTCCCAGTCGCTCTGTATGCTGTTTACACGCTTATTTATGGAACTCGTGCATGCAGATTTGTTGTGATCTTTAAGGCACTCCATCCAGGACCGCGCTACTAACCGGAAAATATCCCACGAGACTCGGTAAACAAAATCGCACTTATCTTTAATTTAGCAGGTGGTAATTATACAGATAGCATTCGCACAAGTACTTCTAGTTCCGATGGCAAATCTTACTACCTTTAATTGTGGAATAGGAAAAGTGTTACTAACATCGTGGCCATAGAGAAAATGTGCACACGAAGAAGGCTTACACGTACAGCCGCTGCGCTTGGTACAAATCAAGCAAACAAAAATTTCAACCACATTATTTTGAAGCGTAAAATCATAGTAAAAGCAACTTTAAAAAAACAATTTTTGGTACAGACCCCTCACACATGTAAACGGAACACTAATTGCCGGTACGTCGATTCTTGGTGCTAAATTGCTAATGTAACAGCTCATGACTTAACAACTTACTATGCACGGACAGAGCATAAAACTGTACTCTGTATGTGCGGTAATTGCCTTGTAATTAGCGTTTTGCTAATGACAGCACATTGTGAACGTGGTTGCAGGTATGCAAAGTGGCGTACTAGGGCCAGGTAATCGTCGAGGGATACCGTTGAAGGAGAAACTGCTGCCGCAGTATTTTAAAGAACTCGGCTATGCAACGCACATGGTTGGAAAGGTGATCAGAATTTATTCTTGAAAGGCAAAAACTGCAAGACGATGCGTACTCACTGTTATTACAGTGGCATGTTGGATATGCGGCGCCTGAACTGACACCCAGTACGTGGTCAGAAAACGTTGTTCTCGTAATGTTTTGCTGAGCGTTAAGCATTGCCGGTATACATATTTATCATAGCTCACAGAGGTTTCGATTCGTATTTTGGATATTACAACGGATACATCGATTATTTCACTCACGACATGAATACGGTATGTACAGTTACCTTTATTACATGGTAATCTTCTTCCCAAGATGGTTATCATGACAAAAACAATTTCTTGATCTAGTCAGCCGAACCGTTTTCTAACGGCTTCGATTTGTGGGACGGTTTTATCCCAGCCACGAATTGTAAGGGACAGTATCTAACGGATATCTTCACCGACAGGGCAATGCAGCGGATTAGCCAACACAATTTTGACAAAGTATGGATCATCATATTAAATACGCGTCAAGCTATGTATTCTTCTAAATTAACTAAAGCGTGGTTCATTTTCGGCATGCATTGATGTAGCCGCTGTTTCTCTATTTGGCACACATGGCCCCGCATTGGGCCAACGAGCATGACCCGGTACAGACTACCGATGAGTACATCAACCGATTTCCGCATATACATCATGAAGGACGACAAAAGTACGCCGGTTAGTTGAAGCTCAGCTACGTTCAACTTAGGACTGCAATCATAGCTTCGTTTTACGCATGCAACGGCGCAGACAAGCGTTTCTCAGCACGAACTAGTTATGGCGATTCATGCGCACTGAATGTATTCCTGGTGCACATAGTCTGCGGATTTTATTCGTAAATTTTTAACCGGTAACCAGTTTCCCCTTTTCGTAGTCCAACATTGAAATAATTGTTATTCGTGCGGTTTGTAGGAACACTGGCTGCATTGGATGATTCCGTTGGGAAAATCATGGACGCCTTGCACCATGAAAAAGCAGATAACAATACCATAGTGATATTCTTGGCTGACAACGGCGGGACCGGTCAGGAGCACTACCTCCAAGAGGGCGCACAAGCCACCCACGGCAGCAACTGGCCATTGCGCGGCACGAAGAACACGTGGTTCGAAGGCGGTGTTCGCACAGTAGGCATCGTCTGGAGCCGGCTATTGCAGCATCCGGGTACGGTGTGGAACGGACTGATGCATTTGACAGATTGGCTGCCGACCCTGATGACGGCCACCGGTGGGATGCCTGTACGGAATGTGGACGGGGTGGATCAGTGGAAATCACTGGTGGAGGCAGCACCGTCCATGCGCAACGAACTGCTGATGCAAGCGGATGCGATCTGGGACCAGTACGCGCTGAGATGGTATCAGTACAAACTCCTGGTAAAAGAGAACCCGATAACAGGCTATAACGCGGATCGATGGTGAGGAGAAATGTACCGTATTTGAAATTTGTGTCAGAAGTAGTTCTCCTTGAATCCTCTAAATCTACAATATAAGGAAACATAGGGCGCTTGCAATATGTACCATGACAGTTGTCAGTATAGTCACTAAAATAAACTCTAATATAAGCAGCTTTGGTTTCTGTTACGGGAACGGTTAACGTAATACACGTGATTACGGTAGGTACGTACCTGTGGACGGTATCATTCCGGATTACGTTAATGCATCCTTACCGGCTGCTGTGCACTGTGCTCCACCTCAGAGCACCGAGAGACCATGCCATTTGGGAGAGGCTCCGTGTTTATTCGATCTCGAAGCGGATCCGTGTGAGCGGGACAATGTAGCGGCCGATTATCCGGATGTGGTCAAACTGATGCTGGAGAAACTCCTGGCCTACAACGCCACGGCACTACACTCACCTCCTCAGCCCGAAGACCCATTGGGGCTTCCGTCGCTGCATGGGGGCCTTATTCAACCGTGGCTAACCTTAAGCGATCTCCCTAATTCATGATTTTTGCATCATATGCGCAATCTTTGCGGCCTTTGCGTACGTTCGACTATTTTAAATTGTTTTAATTAGTGCTATCATATTGATTTTGAAATTTTATTTTTTCCCGCTTCAAAATTATACCATCCATGCGGTGGTAGGTGCTGTTCAACTGAATGTCACTGCTCACAAGTTAAAAATTCTAAAAAATTCAAATTGGAAAAAAAACAAAGCGGTAGGCTACTAATAAAACAAGGGATGATTTTCCGTTTCCGATTAGGCGAAGAACATAGCTCAGTATCACTAGGAATAGTTCGTGTGACCTTTTACTTGTCATGATCCTCTCGTTGGTGTGCCCCGCTGACGCTTTCCCGTTTTGGTGTGTCCGTGACGCCTTTGGCGAACTTTAAACCAGTACCACAGACCACCAACCGTTGCGCCGGCCACGATTAGCTGCGAAGTAAAGCATATTTTCAAGCTAAAGATGTTCTGATCAGTTTAATTCCGGAAATTTCTATACATTTTAGGCCGCAGCATATTTGTCACAGCGTCCTAGATTTATTTAGAATCTTAATCTAAATATTTTGTTGAATTTTTATCCCTAACCGGTTAAAAACTTGCTTTTTCTCGGTACATCAAAAAATTTTGCTTACCAAACCAAGTACCAGTCCGACAATCAGACCAGTCTTTGAGCCGCTTGAATCTGTATGCATGGTTAATAAACGAGGTCAGTGCGCGGCTATTTTACTTTATATAATAAATTATTAAGGCTTGAACAGGCAACTTTATAGGTGCTACATATTAATTATTAATTGAGTGGTGCAGGTTAATTTTATTTCGCCAAACAAAGGGCATAGAAAATTACCGAGCATGAGTTTCACTAATACGAGGCAAACCTGTGGTGGTGCTTTGGGGATTCCCAGGAGCTGTGGAATTCACCGGTTCCTCACTTGGCACTGCCTGAACTACAGCGTGGATGGCATATTCAGAACCCGGTAGATTAGCGCTCGGCGGATTGTACCAGAGGCCTCCATCCGCCCACGACTGGCTGTCTGGATCGGGTGCGGCAGTGGCAGGTTGATAGGGGCGCGTGGTGGTACCGTTTGTACCGTTCGGTGGGTACTCAGGGACTTTCTGTAAATACGTATTTATTCGTCTGCATATCTTTCAGAGGTCGCAAACCGTCTACGGCACCACCTACACGGTACGGTCCATCCAGATATTGTTACCTAACGGCCTGACCGTACCGCAACTGTAAAAGCATGGACTGGTACCGTACGTAACCAAAAGAAAATTTTGTACGATTTGAGACCTGTGATACCTTTCTTTTTTACTTTTTTTAAACTTACAGATATAATATTATTATATACATTAATTTTGGCAGTATTCTAATGCGCCATTAGTAATGATAAAATCAAAAGTACTGATTGGATTGCGATGCTCGGTTTTGGGCCCTGGTTTTGCCGAAATTCTGGGGACCTTACCTTGAAAACATAATGGCCGATAACGTACTCCCAGTGCTGATAATTGCATCCGTCTCTCGCACTGCATATGCAGCGCCGGTCGATATCCATTCCGCTGACGGACGGATTGACTTTGGTGATGTTCAGGCAGATGGTCGGATCATTGCCGCGATAATACCAGCTCCAGATAAAATGGTCCTTATCCGCATCTTCCTCCGCTGAGCACTGCCGGTTCATGGCACGCGCTACAGTCAGCCATCACAGTTAGCTGCCAAATTACGCGCAAGCTGGCCTACACACCACCTAACAAGGAAGATCATACTGCAGAAACTTCTCAATTTATATACTAGTAATAATAGCACTAATGTAACAATGCATCACTGCTTGCTGATCAAAAGAACTGCACTGATTGCCAGCACCTTACTGTATACGGCTGGGCGCTTGCTGTTATCCATTACCATCTTCGTCTCCACCATACAGGTTTTGACGGTGGGCTTGCATGTCTCTGTTTCGTCATTCTCGCGCATTACGCACTTATTGGGATCTTCACTGAACTGACAACGGCTGCAAACTAACGACGGGGAACCTGTGGTAGAAAACTTATGTCAGCAACGTATCGAGCTACAAATACGAGTACTTTGTACTTAAATGCACACGTTTACGCTATTGTACTGGCACTGGGTGCGTCAAAGGAGTCAGTTATATAAGTCGATGCAGGCTCTTTACTCGAACATTTTGTTCCTGTTTAGGGATATTTGCTTTTTTCGGATACTTGGTCAAAATCGATTTTACCTGGCAGATCCGCTAAACCAATGAATATCTGTAAAATGAGCGAAAGACAGGTGTTGGCATCGATGTATTTCCACGGCACACGCATTCGAATAGTACCATAGTGGAAGAAATCAGAACAGCGCTGCGAACTTCGTTTTCATGAACGGATCTGTTAAGATCATACGCCAAACGTGTGTCCCCGAGTAATTTTGTCGAAATATACAGTCTCGGAGCGAAATAATCTACTTAAAAGTTAACGCGATTCAATCAGTGCTAAGTATACGAGAATACAAAAATAACTGTTATGATATAGAACGAAATCTGGGCTAATTGTAATTTTTTACGGTTGATTACTAGTATAACAATGCAAAGGCAAAGAAAAAACCAGTTGAAGATATGAATACACAAAGCAGAAATAATCGCTATTATAAATAAAATGTTGCATTTTTTATTTGTCGCTGCATTAGAAGAGTTCAACAGCAGCTGCCGTTTTAGCTGGCTAGGATCGGCGCTAGGCAACACATTTTTGTCGATTGACCGTGTAACTTACTCGCATAAAGGTACTGTAATTATAAAAGGTTGTACAGCTTTAAAGTAAAATTCTTTATGGAAAACGTGATGACTAAGAGCAGTACGATAAATACGAGTGCTCGTAGCCTCGTACGCAGCATTTTTATACATGTGCTGCAAATATTTTCTTGTGGGTCTTCTCAAATTCTGCATATGTACTCTCGTTCAATAGACTCTCGCCACCGTGAATGTATGTAACTTTAGAAAGCATCAAAGGTGTGCTTCATTTTAAATTTAAAATAATCAGAAACCAGAAATTTCGCCATTTTGATTGCCAGGGTCACCGTGGCAAAAAAAAACTGGATACAGAACCAAGTGTTCCTTCTCCGTTTGTGGTATTTACTGTAACGTACTTACTACTGCAGCAGTTAGTAAATAATTTTTGCCTAGTTTTTGTTTTCTGTTGACGCTTTGGAGCAGCATTCGCCGGCAGGGGAATTTGAAATGAACATTAATTACAACGAATCCCAAATCAGTATCAATTTTTTAAAATATTTTTCAAAGCTGAGATTTAGTTTTTAGCGCTGTGTGATTTTGGTGCTTTGTGTCTAGTAGCATTCTACGCAGCAAGGGTACTTCCGGTTGCTTTCGTTTAGGTTACCATGGTGTGCTCCATTAATTTTCAGTTGATTTTTTTCTACACTTTAACATCAAATCTTCTAGCCTCAAGTCACGCAAATTCGACGTTCAAGTAGCAAGTATCCAATATTATCGTCTGCCGTAACTGGGAACGAGCATAGCGAAAACTTTAATTTCTTTTAGTACAGTATGTAGGCCGACAAAAGCAAATACGTATTATTTAAAGCTCCTTGCAAGGATTTAATGCATCGTGATTCGTGCCGCAGAATAATTAAAGATCTTAAAGACGACTTTAGCTGAAGCAATGAATGTTGAACGGCATCGAAAACCGTGCTGTCTTTTGGTTGTCTAATTCTTGCCTTTCTGCGCTGCCTGGCGGGCTTTGGCTTTCTTGGCCCGCTGTTTGGGTTTGTGCACTTTGAACCAGTACCAGAGGCCGCCGCCAACGCCACCGGCCAGGATCAACTGAAAAAATTATCGTTAAAAATATGGTAAGAAAGCTTTCAGTTTTCGACTGAGAAATTTCAGGAAGCGAGAAACATCAAAATGCGCAATCCGCAATGATAAGTCAGTCGTGACGCGGTTTCTCATTCGGCACGGCCCAATGCCGTAAAGTATACAAAACCGCTATTAAAAGCTCAAGCTTCGTGGTAAATTTTTATCTGCTTTCCGCAAGATCTCCTAGTTTTATATCGTATTTTTCCTTCTTGGCGATAAAAATTCCAAAGTATTTTTTGTCTGCGTGCTACGAACTACTGTACATATGTGCTACTTACAATGCCAACCACCAGTCCAGCAATTAATCCGGCATTAGAGCCACCTTTTTCTGCAAAACGCCAATCCCATTAGTAACCACTCGCGATGGACTTAAATTAATTATACTGTACAACCACATTGTATTGTACTTCTTCAGATACTTACTCAAAAACACACTGTGTTAAAACGCGAGGGTATGCGCATGTTTTACAATTTTGTTATTACAGTACCAGGTATGCAGTACATGTATGCACCACAGCAGTTTAGAGACTTCCATCAACCTCAGCAATGCTCACCGTTAGGGCCCTTCTGGGAATCCTCGGAAGGCGTAGAAGTGGGTGGCGCCGAATTTGCGGTTGATTGAGCAGCTGTATAGGTTGCGGTGCTGGGCGGAAGGGTGCCAGCCGAGGCATCGCTCCATTGGCTGAGATTGGCCAACGAATTACTACCCGGTGCCACCGTATAGGGAGTGTAGTAAACTTTCGGCGGCCCTTCAGCCGTTCTCTGTATTGAAAACAACAGAAAACGCTTTCTGTTTTCTGGTTAACACCAACGAAATGAAAGAAAATCCGCTGTAATCATCTGTTATTTATTAATAACTTTTCTTACGGGGATCTGACAGTGTAAGTTATATGACTAATTGTAGGCGTATTAACTAAAAGTATCTGTTTCAGCGTATAATTTCGCCTTAACAGAAAAAATGCCCAGAAAAGTGGAGTATGTGCTAGCAGTTTCAGAAACCTGTATGTGCAACCGTAATTCGGTTGCACGTCAAATTTCCTCATAACTACACTGTGCCAAACCATGGGTTTATCCTTGCTTTTCTTGTGGATGTAAAAAAAAACAAGCTCAAAGTGTTGAAAGTTTAACTGGTTACAAATTTTTGATACTATGAAGTGCGAAAGCACAACACGGTAGATATGGATTTTGTGTTGCTTTAGTAGCTGTAGAACAGGGATTGCACAGAAATAATTAATCTGCAGAAGATACCTCATGTATCTGTATGTCGCAAAAGGAAGTCAAAAGCACAACTGATTGTGGAAACATTGGTATAGACTGTGCTCTTTAGCCGGTGTAGCCTTGAATTGCAAACCTGTCCGGAAATTCAAACACGTAAGGTACAGCTGAGGCATACTGAACGCGTTGTTAGCGCTTAGGACGATAGCCACTAACTACACTAATGTTCACAATGACGAATTAACATCTACCACATACAAATAAGGTGACACTACGGTATAACCACCCCAAACACCCCCGTTTTTATAGCCACCCCTTTTACACATCCCTTAACTATTTATAGGCACACTTTTTAACTTCTTTTAAGACACCCTGTATTTTTGGCAGCTAATTAAATGCGCAAATTAACAGTGCGCTACTGTAGTCTAAACGCGTTTAATGCGCCTATGAAAGTTTTGCGGATTAACGATAAGGTTGTGGGTCACAACCACCCGCTCATTCGGGAAAAATGGACGAATCTTCCAGAAAATCGATGCCTAACTGTAAGCTCCGCGCAGAAGAAAAACAATAGTATCAAACGGTCAGGCTCTAAAGCCATTAACAACCGTACAACGTCAAATGGGCAATAATGAGACGGGCAAAACTGTAGCTGTTGAGTGTCGACGATACCGCAAGGCGCAAACATTAGCCTCAAAACGTAGATACCCGACCGAGGTATACAGTACACACAACTGCGGCAGGAACGTTGGGCCACGTACAGTACTCAACGCAATTCGCGTCAAACGTCCTATGTTTTCTTTGATATTGCCATTGTGCCTACTGGAAAGGTCATAAATAACAAAATTTTATGAATTCCGCTGGCATCGGTGAAATATAAAAATGTATACAATGCCCAGATTCCTAAAAATGGGCATTAAAATGGGTGTCTGTAATAACCGAAAACCAGGTGTTCTTATTTAGCTATTTGTAAAAAAAGGTGTGCCTGTAATTAAAGGGGCGCGAAAAGGGGTGGCCATGGTGATTTCCAATAAATTATCCAGAGGTTTTTGTTTTTTAATTATACATTTTATTTAAAATCTCCAAAATTTAATTTTACATCAGTATTTGACGTTCACCAACCATGTCAGCTGACTGCAACGCGTAAACATGGCGTGGCGTGCCGAGTGCTTAGTTTGGTCTTATATTATTTGGCTGTATTTATTCGTGCTCCTCATCCGGACGGGTTTGTGCATATTGAACAAATCGATTAAAAAAGTTGATACTTCATTTTAGCGCATGCTGCACAAACAATTGCACTTCTCTGTTCATTTCGGTGAAAGCCATTTAGGAGCAGTGAGCGTGCGTTTAATGCACTCTGGTACAAAGTATTTGTTAAATTTGTTACTTACTAAATTTACCGACTGGCAGATTTCTTGCAGTTATCTATTGTAAGCTGATCTAGCACAAATCCCGCCTGCGGCCGTACCTGAACGGCATAAAATTCCATGACGTCGTCCCATGTTCGGTTAGCGTTACAGTTATCGTGCATTCCAAGGTTCGACACACCACGGCAGATGCAGCGCCGGTCAATGTCCAGACCTTTGACCGACGGATTCTCCATCGTTATATTCAGACAGGCGGTTCCTTTGTTCCTCATTGTATAATCCCCTCCTATTAAAGTGCTCACAGTAACAAGGTCATCCGTATTTGCTTCCACAACAGGAGAGCACGATCGGATCATAACGGGGACTGTAATAGGATTGATTCAGTTATTCAGTCGGTCAATCAATCATTCTATTAAACGTAATTGTTACTATGAATTTTCACAGCAATGGTTGAGAGGTATAATCGAACTGCGCTACAGCGAAACTTATATCCGTATTTCCAGTATGTAAGGGAGATTGATTCTGCTATAAGTGGTACGTGTGTAAACTGTAACCGCCAGAGTGTTCTTACCATAGCGTGCCGGTTTTCGGTTGGTATCCAGGATCATTTTTGTTACTATTATACAGGTATAGACGTTCGCTGGGCATGTTTCCGACTCGTCCTTGTCGGTTGTAACGCAGTTGTTGGTGGCGTTGTACACACATCGGCGACACACAACCGGCGGCCTTGACTGCGTTTCTACTACAACTACAATCCACCATTTTCATTGACACAGTTCTGAATTCTCCAGCACTGGCTGCTGTGTTATGGTAGTAATATCGACAGAGATACAAAGCACTGTGGGCATGTTGACAAAGGACACGCTAGAACTATTTCGTCACTTGCATGCAATAATGGTTCTACAGAGCACATTGCAGTGTGTAATGCGCCCTCTGCTACGAGCCATTTTTTGCGAGCCATTTTCAATTTGTTTTTCTATGCTCGTACCCATTTTTCGTTTTGTACTGTGCTGAGCCTTCCTTAGGCTTTTTTCTGTAAAACATGTATTTAATACCAGAATATAAAATTATCTTTGGAAAACACTAAGTTACCGTATGTTACCGTAACACATACCGTATGTGGTAAATGTAAGAGGCTTGTGTAAGAAACGCTTGCTAAGTTGCTAGCAGTTATGTGAAATTGTTTATTTCTGAACCCCATTTAACCATCGAACCCTTCGTGAAGATTACTTTCGCCATTCACGTAAATGATTTTCACGCCAGAAAAAAACCATGATAGGTGACGAAGTTCGGCATAAGGTTTGTTTATTAATCGATAATGGATTTTGCAGCGTTGGTCTGTCTTCTTCTCCATCATTGCTGATTTAATGGTGATCGGTTTTAAGCATTCGTTGTACAAAATATCCCGGTTATTAGCATGCGTTCTTTTGTAGCGTACACACCATGTTTTTAAAATTTATTCCATATGCGAACTTCGAAAGAAGGTGAAAAAAATAACTGTACGGAGTGTACGCTAGACCAAGCAAAGGTTGCTTTTGTGCGTAATGTGTGATAGTAATTTTGTTAAACTGTCATTGTCATATTTAGACTTTCGGTCACTGTATCCCACTGCACCGTTATGTATCGATAAAACTTTTCCAACCAAGGACAACGCGGTAAAACCCTCAACACAACAATAATAACAATGCTAAAATGAAGGACGATAACCAATGCTTACCTGGAAACTGTGCACTAATAATATACCATCCGAACAGCACTATCACATCGAAATGAGGTATCGAAGTACGGTAGAAGTTCCACATGTCGCCTAATATAAGTACCACAATCGTTACCATGCGCGGAAACCGATGAGCCACAAGGTCAATGTCATAGACCCCATTGACCACATTTTAAAGTAGTAAATTAATTAGGTATTAGTAATTAGTAGCACACTTTTTATTAACTCATAAGTTCGAAATCGCTCAGTCCATCGCTAAAAGTAAGCTGTGGCTTAATGATGCTGCAGCTTATGTTTAACTAAGTGATGTGCAGACGATCCTACGAACTTAACCGAGGCTTAAGTAAGTATCTGCATGGATATGGTTCCGCCCTGCTACCAAGCAACGAATTGCTGGTTACGCACTTGCGTTTTCAATTAAGTAAGTACTAAAATCAAGAATAAATTTGCTGCAGTAATAGGAATATTCTTTAAGCAATCCTCTGCACACGCCCGTTTGAATTAACCAAAATTATGTGGAAATAATTAGCAATGAGTTTTTGTTGACTCTGATTTTTGTGAAACAGTAATGCGATAATGCATCTTTCAGTTCGGTTAGAATTTCCATTTTAAAACTCTGCAGATGAAATTTCTTAAAAATTGTCTGAAAGTGATGCTGATTAACCAAAAATTATGACATTGATACTTATTAATATGCACCGAGCGAACACGAGTTGTTACGTTTTCTAGCTTTTGCTCAGGACGTGAAACGAGGCGTTCCTGCATTTACATAACTGCAGCCTGCAGGTAATAAGATATACCGTGATCCAGTTGCTATAATTATGATCTTATTATGTATTTCCAACGTCGGTTTAACTACTTCAACGTACATTTTTTCCACAGCCTTTTACAGTTGTTGTATTAACAGAAATCAGTAATTTATTAATTTATTTGATTTCATCATCCACTACCCGTACTGTCCTGTTAAACAAAATCCAAAGTCTCGAAGGCGTTATCGTATGGTAATGCTGGCTGTACGTAGCAAAAGCGATAGACAGCCAAATTAGCCAAATTCAGGCACTCCCGTTTCTTCCACACCTAAAGAGCCTAAATGGTTCTTTGTGCATAATGTGCAGTATGAATACAGTACTTCTATAACGACTTTTTACATGGGTTATCATACAAAGGACGCTCCAAAAGTAAGTTTCCCTATTTTGTATCTCCCGGCCTGAACGCTTTTATTTCTTATGAACCATATTTTTAGAAACGTCCTTCATTAACGAACCAAAATAAAATGTAACTCTATCTAACTACAATCAAACGGAGAAGAACTGCCGAGAAAGCCGTCCAAGGTTTTCGGCACTTTGCCACGGGTTTTACCCTGACAGTTTTTGTTATTTTTCTCAGTCTTCCTGCTCACTTTTCGAAAAGCACCAAATATCATCAGATTAGGAATTCTTTTCTGTCTAATTCCAAGAACAAAACAAAACAACTTCTGTGCAACGCTTTTCCAGAAAAGTAAAAACTCTCAATGACTAGGTGGAAAAACCACAGAGCTGCTCAAGGTGCCAGACGGTAAAAAATCGAAAATTTCTTGTAAAACATTATTGTTGTCGGTACAACTTGAAGTTATTTGTGTCCAAGAGGCGCATGACTGCGCATGAAATTTTCTTTTTATTGATGCCAAGAACTTTTGGATTCATATCAGCAAGAAGGCTGAAAAGGGGGATTCCGGCGTCGTGGATCCACTTTCCTCTGCATAATGACAATTCAAGATCAACAAGCTGATATCGGTAGTAATTCGACATAACAATAAAATAAGTCCTTTAGAGAGTAGCACTAGTTCCACTCTTATAATCAAACTTCCAATATTCTAGAAAAAGGAATAACAATTTGACTGTCAGATGTAGCGACTTTTTCGACCAAGAAAAACTTGGGCGGCGTAGAAAAGCTATCAAATAATTCAGCCACTGGTATAGAAATGAAGTATTAGGTAGCTTTGTGTAACATTTCAACGTATGTATTAAAACTGTAAAAGTATTTTTATATAACAAACTAGAGCTCCTTAAGGCTGCTATCCCTTTAAACTTTAGCGCGAAAAGCAATTTTGAGCATATTCTGTTTTCGAATGTCTTACCCTTCTGCAAAGCCTCAGGAGTCGTTGAACTGAATGTCGGCGAATTGCTGGTTGATGAAGCTCTTGTTGTCGGAAGCGTACCGGCCGAAACACTGCTCCATATGGTCAGGTTAGCTAACGAATTGCTGCCCGGCGCAACAGTAAAGGGTACAGTGTAATTTTGCGTCATCAGTACAAATTGCGGGTTTCTCTGCGTGGAAAATACTCGTTTATGCACCTGTGCTGTACATGAAATATGAAACGTACCGACTGACAAAAAGGTAGGAAGACACTGTAATTTTTGTTTATTTCAGTTACTAGTAGTACTATTTCTCCGAAAAATAAGGAAGGAAAAGCTGTAATTACAATTCAATACATGGCTGATACATGGTACTACGATAGCAGGTACATAGTACTGTATATATATATACATATATACAAGAAATCGCTGCGGCTTCGCCTCCGCGTTTCTTGCAATCCACGGCCGCTTTGAAATTATTCCATTTACAGTAATTCGTTAGCAAATTCACTAACTGCCTTAGCAGTTATTGTAGAACTTCTTAGCAAGGATTCTAGCTCAGTGACTTACTCATCTAGCAATTCACTAGACAGCGGTGGTAGCTCGGTCAATCACTCACCTAGCAATTTTGTTCGCTGGACAGCGGTGGTAGCGCGGTCACTCACTCACCTAGCGATTTTGTTTACCTGGCGATTTATTGCTCGGTCATTCCTCACCCAGCTATTTCGCTTTGCTCACTGGACAGTGCTGGTAGCTGGGTTACTCACTGCCCTAGCAGTTTTGTTCACTGGGTTTTGTTTCCTTCGAAACCTGGGCTAATTCAAACAGGGTTTGGAAATCGGATTTTTTAGGCATTTCAACATTGAACGTTTGAACAGTAATCAGGCGATTAGAATTCAACACGTTTGGAAATAAAATAATTACAAATTTATTATAGTAAATACTTAATACTTTATTAAATGTTCTGAAATGATATTTCTAGAAAACAGGATAGGTATGTCAACAGGCTAGCAGCTGCCACGTTCTACCGCTTTTGCCCGAGACAGTCCAAGTGGTCGCGGGACATTTCGTCGCGTGGGACATTTCGCCACAAGGTTTTCGTTGCAGCGTCTAATTTGTTTAGGACAACTGGTTTCGCAGCTGTTTCGTTGTGTGGCATCTGGTCGCGCGACTTTCGGGAGCCGAATATTATCGACTGGTTTATGACAACGAGCAGCCATATGACTATTTGCCACAAAAACGACTTGTCCGCAAACGAAATGTTCGTGAAACCAAATGTCCCGCGACGACCCGCAGTAGCCGGCAGCCAGTGGCAGATGCCACTGCCACCTTTTACACCCTTCCAAAACTCCGCGGCAGCCTTACCTTAGCCGTCCATAGTCCCATGAGGTTGTCCCAAGTTCCGTTATTAAAATAATTGCAACGATCCACCCAAATGCCGCCTACTGCACCGCGACAGATGCAGCGTCGGTCAATGTCCAAACCCTTCACTGACGGATTCTCCCCGGTAGTGTTAAGACAGATAGTCGGAATGCCATTTGTCGTGGTCACTCCCGAGGTAGCGGGGTCCATCCGTATTTTCGAATTCGCATGTTGGTAGTCATCCTCATACGCGTCCGCGGCAGAGGTGCAATGCCGATTCATTGCGGGCACTGCAGCAGAAATACTCGTACTTCGATATCATCCGTAAATTGGTCACGTTAGCTCAAAGCCAGTAAACTACACAGTAGTTTTGACGGCCATAAAGTCAAAACTGAACCAATTTCACGTTCACAGCATTTTTTCATAATTTTAAAATGAATTTTACAATTTTTGAAACTCATTTTAAAATCGGAAAAACATTCTACGAACAGGAAATTGGTTCACTTTCTACTTTATGGCTATGTGTCTTTTATAACAAAGTTTCAAGAAGATCGGGTAATAACCAGACTTTTGGTACACGACAATGCATTTAAACTTTTCACCCATTTTAGTACACGATATCTCGGCAACCGGATGTTGCACGCGCAAACGGTTTTCATAACAATGTATAGAAATCATTTAGTTTTAAAATGACATAAAGTGTTAAAAAAAGGTGGTTCGGAGTGTACGAAAGCGGAAGTTTTTGTTTATGTATACCATTTGTGACACCATGTACCGGGCCATTTCCCTTAATGGGATCAAGGCAACTTTGGGTTCTCAAAAGTAATTAATACTGCTAACGCTCGTCTTAATAGGAACGGTCGAACGGCCCAGTGGTTACGTAACTTCACTAAAACGGATTACGAGGAGGCCATTGGTCACGTTGCCAGCATATTCACTTCCCCGAGTCAAATTGGCTTCCTTCTCCGGCAATTCGTGCAACCCGCCATGGGGGCCAGTTATGCGTAATACGGCAGTGCCGTTTTTTCTACCGTCGTGCAACCATTCGTTCTTTTTTATAAGTTGATTATAGATTGACAACCTTTCATATTTAAAAGTCAAGTGTTTGAACTTCAGGCCCGTGCTTACACCTAAACTGTTGCTTAATATGTGTTTAATTTTATTGTGTTTTTTCAATCCCACTCATAGAAAAGATAAGATATCTAGAGCAGTCAAAGTTAACACTGAACAGCGCAACATGGCGGCATGGCATTGTGCACGTAGGGGCGGCATACTGAAGCGGTGCTTTTGATCTGCGCAGGTATTCTATACATCATGTTGCGCTGCTCGGTATTAATGTTGA